CAATTGTTGAAGAAGCCAATTCTATTTATAATAGGTTAATCCATAAGAAAATTTTTTTTTAAATCTGGCAGCTTATGAGCATATTTTGTATAGTCTGCATGTATTGACATACTATTAAAAAGAAATGAATTAGATTCCAGTGTTTAAAACGTAATAATCAAAATTGATTAAAATCTGAGTAGAGAAATCAAGTTAAGGGGCTGGGAAGGTGGCTCAGTGGTAGAGCGCTTGCCTTACATGCCTTAGGCCCTGGGTTCGATTCCTCAGCACCACATAAGCAAATAGAAAAAAGCCGGAAGTGGCGCTGTGGCTCAAGTGGTAGAGCGCTAGCCTTGAGCTGAAGAGCTGAGGGACAGCGCCCAGGCCCAGAGTTCAGGCCCCATGACCGGACCAAAGAAAAAAGAAATCAAGTTAAGCACAGGGGCCAGTGCTAATTCCAGGAAATGCTGCTGTGATATGAGAAATAAAGGCAACATGTTAAAGTTATGGGGGTTTTGGTTTTTGTTTTTGCTGGTTGTAAGGCTTGAACTCAGAGCCTGGGTGCTGTCCCTGAGTTCTTCCACTCAAGGCTAGTGCTGTACCACTCTGAGCCACAGAGCCACTTCCAGTTTCATAGTCGTTAATTGGAGATACGATTCTCACAGACTTTGCTGCCTAGGCTGGTTTTGAACCGTGATCCTCAGATCTCAACCTCCTGAGTAGCTAGATTACAGGTGCAAGCCACTGGAGCCTAGTTTAAAATTTTTTTTCAAACATTTTTAAAATTATTATTACTATTTTAATTTTTGGTGACAGAGATGAAATAAAGCTTTGAACCCAGGGCCTCATAGGCTGGTCAGCATGCACTAAACCTTTGGCTCTGAACCTATTGGTTCTCAGTGTGGGTGTTATTAGCTCTGGTCTACATTCCTTGGGTGTCAGTGTGAGTTGAGTGTCGCTACATAGATAGACTTACTTTAAGAGCAGGATAACCAATTAGGTGAGTTTTAGGAGCTGTAATGTCCAAGAAGTGACTGAGTCTACTTCTGAAGCGACTAAGCAATGGCAATTGAGGTAGTTCCATTCAAATTTGAACTTCACTGAAGTCAGAGATAATGTGACAACCTGTAGTCCCGGTGTTCAGTCTTTAGGTAACATGTCAGATGAAGGTAGGGTCCATCATCTCTCCACTTGAACCAGGTTTCTCTGATCTGTAGAAGCATCAAATGAATCACCATGCTGCCAGAATCCTCACAGGGCCCTACCCAGCCACCTAACCATTAGGTTCACTTAAACATTTTCCTAATGTGGCAGGTCCTGGCACATAAGCATTGAGTGAAAGTCCCACTCACTACCAATCAAAGTGATGTGTGTATTTCATTTCAGAAGGAACTATGGTCCTATAAATATCTGGCATTTCGTTGCCACAGAAGTGAAATTAGCCTAGTAGTGTCAAACTTGAGGCAGGTAAGAGCAGCTGTGTCAGAATCCAGACGCACCTTACTGACTGCTCCCTCCAGCCTCATCTCCAACTAAAGCCTCTGGTTCAGGTCTTGGGGATGGGGCTCCCTAGGTCGTATCCAAGCCTTTGTGCCACACAGCTCCTGTAGCACTCACGTGTGTGCATGCACGTGACAGTACTAGAGTTTGAACTCAGGTCCTAGGCACTATCCTTTAGCTTTTTTTATCTAGGCTAGTGAGTCAAAAGTACAGCTTTTTGGTGGTTAATTGGAGATAAGAGTTTCAGACTTTCCTGCCAGGGCTGGCTTTGAACCTCAGATCTCAGCCTCCCTAGTAGTCACCAGTACCTGACAACTGTTCTTTTAAAATGAGTGAAGCAGAAGCAAAGGAATAATGAGAGAACAGAAACTTTTTTATTTCCTATCAAAAACAGGACGTCAGATTGAAATTTAAAATTGAGATATTTCCTGAATTTTTACAGTTATCTGTTTCTGGCTAAAAAAATAATACTTTAACTGGACACTGGAGAGTATCTAGATCATTTTTATAGAATGGACAGGTGGACACAGGAGTTGTCTGTATCCTGTATTCAGGCTGCATTGCTACATCATGAGTCTGCTTGGGTATGGAAGGGAATGGACATGTTCTTATCCTCTCAGTGTGAGGTCACACACCACATCTGTGGTATTTTAGTATTGTTTTGAAATACTGACATGTCAAGAAAAGGAGTAACTTATTCACTAATGTTATGAACACTGTTAAACTTATCTTCCAGATCAGGAGTTGAGGCTTTGGTAGACATTTGAAGAGTAGGGAGAACCGCTTTCTTGAATTTGCTATTAACCACGCCCACAAACTTCACTACATATATAGAGATGACCTGAATAATATATTGTCTTACATGGTTTTATACCTGAAGAAATAAGGTGTCAAGTCGTATGTGCTCTTCTGCAGTGTTCTTATAGTAATGAAATTAATTCATATATTCATAATCCCCAATGCATATTTATACACAAACTGTAATATGCCATGAAAAATATATATAATAGGTGCATTAGTGTGTTCTCCATTGTTATAGCAGTTTAGATAAGCAATGGCACCAACAGACTATGCCTATAACTGTCGCATTGTACATGTTTGGGAATTTCTGGGAGGTACCAAGAAAAGGGAAATGTGTTGTTTTGTTTTGTTTTTGCCAGTCCTGGAGCCTGAACTCAGGCCTTGGTGCTGTTCCTGAGCTTCTTTTGCTCAAGGGTAGAGCTCTACCACTGTGAGCCACAGCTCCATTTCCAGCTTTTTGGGGGCTGAATTGAGGGTAAGAGTCTCATGGACTTTCCTGCCTGGGTTGGCTTTGACCCATGATCCTCAGATCTTAGCCTCCAGAGTAGCTAGGATTACAAGCCATTGGTGCTCGGCTACTTTTGTTCTTTCTTGTTCCTCAGGGTTGAGGTAGCCATTTACATTCCCTCCAGCAGAGTAAAGGTAAATTTGGATGTGTACTTGATATTGTCATATTAAAAGTGGTAAGTAATAAGCACTATGCAAATGGGTGGTTTCACTATGGCTTGTGGCTTTTCTGTGCATGCGTATATCATGCTTCACACTTGTTTTTGTGGCTAGGGTTTGAACTCAGGGCTTTGTACTTGGTAGGTAAGTTCTCTGTCACCTAGTCAGGCCTCTAGTCCTTTTTTTTGTTTTTTGGGTCCGGTCTGGGTGGGGCCTGAACTCTGGGCCTGGGCTCTGTCCCTCAGCTCTTCAACTCAAGGCTAGCACTCTACCACTTGAGCCACAGCGCCACTTCCAGCTTTTTTTCTTTTTGCTTATGTGGTGCTGAGGAATCGAACCCAGGTCCCATGCATGCAAGGCAAGTGCTCTACCACTGAGCCACCTTCCCAGCCCCCCTCTAGGTCTTTTTTACTGTTAGCTTATTTCTTATTTGTTGGGCCAGTACTAGGGCTTGAACTCAGGGTCTTACACTCTTACTCAGCTTTCTTGCTCATGGCCGGTGCTCTACCCCTTGGGCCATGCCTCTATTCTAGCTTTTTTGTTTTGTTTTGCTGGTTACTTGGAGATGATGAGGTCTTGCAAACTTTGCTGGCTTTGAACCTTCATATCTAGGTTTTAGCTTCCTGAGTTGCTAGGATTATAGGCATGAGCCACCAGAGCCTAGCAAGTTATTTTTTTAGATAAGGTCTCAGATTTTCCTAGGTCAGCCTGGGACTCCTTCCTGTGCCTCTTATTTAGCTGGAACCACAGTTATGAAGTGCCACACCTATTATTTATTGACATGGTGTTTCTTGCTAACTTTTTGCCCAGATTGGTCTTGAACTGATCCTCCTGATCTCTGTTTCTTGAATAGCTGGGATTACAGATGGGAGCCACTGTGTCTGGCCCACCTTTGTTTTTGAATAGCTTTATTGAGATACAACTTGCATACCATAAAGTTAATATATTTGAAATGTGTAAGTCAATAACTTCCATCATCTTTATGGAGTTATACTACCATCACCATAAACTTAATTTTTTGAAACTTATCAGCATCCTCCAAACAAACATTTTATCCATTAGGAGTCATTCCCAACTGTCTTTATGCCCAGCCCTTGGCAGGTACTTACTTGCTGTTTATCCATTTCTGTCATCAAATAATATGTAGCCTATTACGACTCACTTCAAGTTAGCCTTTTTTGTTTTGATCATGGGGCTTGAACTCTGGGCCCAGGTGCTGTCCCTGAGTGCTCCACCACTTTGAGCTACAGTACCACTTCTGGTTTTCTGGTTTTCCTGTCTGGGCTGGCTTCCAACTGTGATCCTCAGATCTTAGTTTTCTGAATAGCAAGGATTACAAGTGTGAGCCACCAGAACCCAGCTAACATGTTTTCATTTATGTTTTTTATTTTTGGTCAGACATGGGGCTTGAACTGTGGGCCTGGGTACTGTCCTTGAGCTCTTCAGCTCAAGGCAAACAATTTACCACTTGAGCCATAGTGCCACATCCAGTTTTCTGAGTGGTTTATTGGAGATAAGAGTCTTACAGACTTTCCTACCCAGACTGGCTTTGAACTGCAAGCCTCAGATCTCAGCCTCCTGAGTAGCTGGATTACAGTCGTGAGCCCACCTACACCTGGCTGGAGTGGGCTTTTACTTTTATTTTACTTAATTTTTTTTTTTGTGCTAATCCTGGGCTTGAACAGGACCTAGGCATTGTCTCTTGAGCTTTTTTGCTCCAAGCTTTACCACCTGAGCCACAGCTCCACTTTCAACTTTTCAAGGTAGTTAATTGTAGAGTATCATGGACTTTTCTGCTTGGGCTGGCTTTGAACTGAGATCCTTAGATCTCAGCCTCCTGAGTAGCTAGGATTACAGATGTAAGCCACTAGTGCCCAGCTTCTATTTTTTTTTTTTTTGTTTCTTAAAAGGGAATAATAATATCATAAGAATAACTCAATTTCATTTTACAAGTCTCTACTGTTTTCCTTTAGAAAACCTTCTTTGCTTCTATGTTAGTATAGTCTTAACAGAAAAACTTGTTAAACTTATTTTGTTGTATGTTGTATTTTCAGAGCAGTGGAAAGAGCTCAGTGCTGGAGAGCCTAGTGGGGCGGGATCTGCTTCCTAGAGGCACTGGCATTGTCACCCGGAGGCCTCTTATTCTGCAGCTGGTCCACGTCTCACCAGAGGATAAGCGAAAAACATCAGGAGAAGAGAATGGTAAATATTACAATTGGGGATAAGAACGATCTAAAAACTAATCATTTTTGGTGTGTTTCTAAGATATGATTTGATTAGTTAATTGGAAATTATTAATGGCTATAGCAAGATCTGAATTCCTGTGGAAAGAAGTTGTACAACAGTTTCTGAATATAAGAAAGTAATTTTTGTTGTTTTTATGAATGAACTTGATGGGACTAGTCCCTATTGAGTGATTCAGCTTTATAAACTTATTGGTGGTATTTAATAAAGGACCCAGTGACAGAGTGCATAGTAATTAATCCATTTTATTTTAAAGAAAAAGGATTTTGTTTTTGTTTTTAAGGCAGGTTCTTATTCTATAGCCTAGGCTATCCTGTTAGACTCATGATTCTCGCATCTCAGCATCCTGGTGCTGGGATTATGTGCCTCCTCTAAGTACTGATGTTTTTGGTTTCTACTTTAATTTGCAACTTATGTCATTTAGATTCTAGCTGAAATTTTCATTTTAAATTGAGTTGACTGTTAGCTTAGAATTGTTAACTCACTTTCCCTTTCCTTGTCTCACCACACACCTGCTAGTTTTCATTCCCCTTCATTGGCGTGGGTTATTATTTAAACTTTTAATTTAAAATTACTGTTAGTTTTTACTTCAAATGTATAGAACACCTTCATTTTGAAGATCTTCTCTGCCATGTTCAGGTTTAGACTCTAGCTAAACTGAGTTAGGCCTTAAATATGTTATATGAAAAGTAGGCCTAGAATATGCAAATAAGAAACCATGCATTTTTGTATATAGCAAAATTTTAAAGAATTAAAAAGGCATTTTAAGAAATGTTGTCTATTAGAGTTTAAGTTGCTTATAAAATGTGTATACTATGTTAGTCATACATAATGAGTTTAAATGTTCTAGAGTACTGCATCTAATATTCTAATTTAGTTCAGTGCTTGGCTTAGATTTTCTTTTATTAAAGTCTTTAAAAATTGCCTTAATTGTTAAGTGGCTTTTGCAGCAGAATACTGTGTCTGTTTCTTATCTGCATAGATTTATTTTCCTGCAGCTTCATTTTGCTTCTTCAAATAAGATGAGATGATATATTGACAAAATTGATGCTACTGGAGTTTTTGTATTTGGTTGTTTTGTTGTTGTTATTTTTTCATTTATCATAGGAGTTGATGCTTGTTTTGTGTTTAAAGTGGGGAATGCTGTCATGAGCATTCACTATAACTCTAGAATCACTGAAGCAAGTGAATGAAGCTAGCAAATGGTATTTTCCAGCCATACTGCCAGAGATATGGAGGAAATTTTTAATTCTATTAGACATGTTCTTGCTGTGTTATGAATCATGCTGCATTTTGTAATAGTTCTTAACTGAAATTCTAAACCTTGAATTTAGTCATTTTAAATTCAAACAAATTTATGAAATATTTTATTTTAATTAGTTCTGGGGCTTGAACTCGGCCGGGGTGTTGTCCCTGAGTTCCATTTGCTCAATACTGGCACTCTTACCACTTCACTTTCAGCTTTTTCTGTGATTAATTGAAGATAGCTTCTGGGAGCCAGCCCTGGCTGGCTTCAAACTGTAATCCTCAGATATCAGCCTCCTGAATAGCTATGATTAGAGGTGTTAGCCGCTGGTGCCCGGCTCATATACTTTAAATTCAGGCTATGAAAACTATATAGCATTAGATCTCTTTTAACTTTTTGTCTCAAGCTCTTGGTAGATGCAGCCAGTGTTTCCTTAAGATAAAACTTTGCTTGTTAGGAAAGAGGCACATTTCAGCTGTATGTGAGTTAGCTCCCTGGTATCTCTGCTGTGTGTCCACTGCATTGTGTTGATGTCTCTTCTTGGTCGTGGGTCAGTAGATTTGTATATCTTTATCTGCATACACACACACATGCACACACGTGTGCACGCACGTACACACACACATAGGTATATATATTTCCCCCAAGTTTATTGCTTTGTGTGTGTGTGTGTGTGTGTGTGTGTGTGTGTGTGAGAGAGAGAGAGAGAGAGAGATTTTCCTCCACTTAAATAACAGCTAGTGATAACACAGGTTTCATAAATTTGAGTACTAAATTTTATATTTTATTCTGGGATAATTCTTAAGTTTCTTAATTAGAGACACTTTCTTCTTGGGAGAAGCAGTTCTACCTTACTATAAGTCATTCTAACCTAGAGGAAATTAGAAATCAAGAAGCAAATTACCGTATAAAGTCTGAGCTGTTTTGATAGCCTGACAGTGAGAGCACACGAGGAAACTAAGCAGAAAGTGCCCAAAGAACACAAACAGAAAAATCCTTTTTGCATAGGGATTCCCATGAGGGTTTTGCCTTATAATGTAGTAAAGGACTAAATTACCAATAATACCTTAAGGGCAGAACATTTTAGATGATTTAGAGAAGTATAATAAATTTTAATTATAGGCCTATAAAAACTAGATGAAATATTTTAGTGTTTGAATATGCACAAGTAAATTGTCAGGAAAACTCAGCATCATGCAACAATCTTTCTGCCATCTCCCTGGGGTAATTGAGGTATCAGTATAGTATGTAGGGAAATTACTTAGAAGTACATAGTTCCCTCTAATTCTAGTTGTAAATTTTGAATAATTGAATGCTGTGTGCATTTGAAATGTAATGTTTCTAGACATTTTATTCTTTTAAAAAGTTAACAATTTTAGGGATAAGCTAAACTTACCATTCTGTGCTGTTTCTCTTTAACTACAGACCCTGCCACATGGAAAAACTCAAGACACCTTTCTAAAGGTTCCCTTTCTCCATTTGTTTCTGGCCCTTCTTTCTCTTATTCTGCCTGCATGTGTGCTTACGTACTCTTACAGGCTGTGTGCATTTTTTTCTTCCATTTTTATTTGCCTACCCACCTTACAGGTTTCAGTGGTTTTTGCCATCAGAATGCAAGCTTTTTTAGTGGTGAATGTATTTTATTTCATTTTTATTTTCCAAAACATGCTTGTGAAGCTAGACCTTCTTTATGTAAGATGAATCAAACATACCCTGTTGGTATGTAGTCCTGCTTCTGTGAGTTCTGTCCACCTAGATTACTCCTGCCCTCCAATGAGACTTCTTGGAAGAAGGTACTATGCTTCAGGTCGGTGAGAACTTTACTTGCAAAGAGGACCCAATTTTATTTACCTTTATTCCACAAAATAATCAAGCCACCTTTTCTTTGATAAATATTTATATAATTGCCATATAGTGGTTTTGATTTTGATTTCAGGTACAGATGTGCATCATTCAATATTCTTAACTTGTTAAGGTCTTTTAAAAACCTTAGGGTTTGGCCAGGGCAAAATCACTATACTTGGGAGAGGTGTAAAGTTAGATTACCTTTTCTACAATTAAACATTTCTGATTTCTCAAGGAAAAACAAAGTTTTAGACCACTTCACACAGTATACACAATGAACATATTTTCCTCTTTTTTTTTTTTTAAAAAAAAAAAGTCGGGGAACAGACCTATGACTGGAAACTCAGTGGAGAGTACCAACTCACCAAGGGTTTTTCCTTCTTCCTCCATTTCATTTCTTCCTACCTTAGTTCCATTGGAGAATATGACAGAAGTTGTACCACTGAGAGAGTTCTTTAAAGCCAGCAAATTGTGACTGTATAGCTGATGACCAGGAAACCATGTTAAAACCACAACAAAACTGAAAACTCGGCTGCTTCATTCATGTAGTGCAAATATTCACAGCGTGTGATGCGCACCAATCTTGTATAGGTGCTTTTTGCATTATTCAGTAGGGTTCTTCATTTTTCTTACCGGGTAACTTAAGTGTAAGTATAAACAGAATAGGAAGTGAACAAAATATAATCTATAAAATCTAGATTTCAAGTGGTAGAAAATTTGTGAGTGATGCTACCTGAAGTTCCTCATTTGAAGTACAGGGCACTGGTTTTTTAAATGTTAAATATATAGTTTAGCAGATGTTAAACTTTTTAATTTGTAGTTAGTGGCAACATAGGAACAAATAACAATTTTCATCGAGCATTGTTAACTTATAGTTAGTGGCAAAATAGGAACAAATAACAATTTATTGTACAGCCATTTTGAATTCCTAACTATAAAAAATACTTTTTGTAGGTTTCAGTATATGAGTTTTTTCTTTTTTTCCTAGGTGTGGAAGCTGAAGAATGGGGTAAATTTCTTCACACCAAAAATAAGGTATTTAAGATATAATGAAATAACGTGTTGAAAATACCACTTTGTAAAATTAGCAGATAATTTAATTTCTTTCTTTTTTTATTTTGGGTCCGATTGTGGGGCCTGAACTCTGGGCCTGGGCGCTGTCCCTCAGTTCTTCAGCTCAAGTCTAGTGCTCTACCACTTGAGCCACAGCGCCACTTCTGGCTTTTTTCTTTTTGCTTATGTAGTGCTGAGGAGTCGAACCCAGGGCCTCATGCATGCAAGGCAAGCACTCTACCATTGAGCCACCTTCCCAGCCCATAATTTGGTTTCTTGTCATTGGCAATGTGTTATGTTACTTTGAAGCAACTGTTCCCTTGAGAAATAATTATGTCTCAGTAACATTTCTAACCATATAGTTCTAACCATAATCTTCTAACAATAATCTTCAGATGGAGTCTGTTTAACTTGGTGATTGGGTGTTGTAGAACCAAACAACTATGAGTTAATGGCTTAGAAAAATATGCATCAGAATTTATTTGCTAATTTCCTGCAGCAAATGCATAGACATCCTTGATGTTTATGGACACTCAAACCATCAATTAAGAACTTTTGATCTCACTTTGAATATTGTGGTTTTTATTTGCTTTGTGTGTTTAGCTTTACACAGATTTTGACGAAATTCGACAAGAAATTGAGAATGAAACAGAAAGAATTTCAGGAAACAACAAGGTAAGCATCTACTTAGACCTGGAAGACATAAACATCAGCAAATAGAATACTGAGGGTTTTCTGTAGATAATATAATTCATAATCTTAATCTTTGAAATAAATAATATGTTTTCACAAACATAAAAACTTTGCTTAAGATCTCTTGGCACTAGGTATTTTGCCACTCACTTGTAATCTCAACATATGGAAGATGGAGATAGAAGGATCGAGTTTGTGACCAGCCTGGGCTATATTTACAGTGAGACCACAATGCTTAGCATGTGCAAGTCCCTGGATTTGGTCCCAAGCAACATGAAGAAAACAACAAAAAAAAAACCCCTTTGTTCCTCAGAACTTTTATATATGTCAAATATTTCACACTTATTTTTTTCTTTTCTTTTTCTTTTTTTCTTTTCTTTTTTTTGGTTGGTCCTGGGGCTTGGGTGCTGTCCCTACTCTCTACAGCTCAAGGCAAGCGCTCTACCACTTGAGCCACAGAGCCACTTCCCATTTTCTAGTGGTTTATTGGAGATCAGAGTCTTACGGACTTTCCTGCTGGGGCTGGCTTTGAACCATGATCCTCAGATCTCAGCCTCCTGTGTAACTAGGATTACAGGCGTGAGCTACCGGTGCCCAGCTCATACTTATGTTTTTCTTAACCCTGTCATGTACATAGCACTTTAAATTATAATTATACTGTATAATACTGTTATTGTGAGTTAACTTTGTTTTTTTTTGGGGGGGGGGGGACAGTCTTGAACTCAGGGCCTGGGCCTGGTCTTTGGGCCTCTTTGTGCTCAAGGCTGTTGCTCTACCACTTGAGCCACAGTGCCACTTCTGGCTTTTTCTGAGTAGTTTATTGGAGATAAGAGTCTCATGGACTTTCCTTCCTGGGCTGGCTTTGAACTGTGATCCTCAGATCTCAGTCTCCAGAGTAGTTAGGATTACAGGCATGAGCCACTGGTGCCCAAAATGAGTTATCTTTTTTTCTGGTTGATTGATAGTACTCTTAATTGAGGAAGCATTTTGTAATTCCTAAGGTACATGTATTTTGCAGAACTATTTTTCTTTTTTCTTTTTTGTTGGGTCCAGTCGTGGGGCCTGAACTCTGGGTCTGGGCGCTGTCCCTCAGCTCTTCAGCTCAAGGCTAGCAGGCTCTATCACTTGAGCCACAGTGCCACTTTCGGCTTTTTTCTTTTTGCTTATGTGGTGCTGAGGAATCGAACCCAGGGCCTCATGCATGCAAGGCAAGCACTCTACCACTGAGCCACCTTCCCAGCCCCCGCAGAACTATTTTTCTTACATAAAGAGAAATATTAGTATTTTTTTTAATGAAGGTAGTATGTTAAAAACTGATTACTTTTTATTTGTAATGGTACTGGAGCTTGAATTCAATGCCTCATATTCTTGCTTAGCCTTTTCACCCAAGGCTAGCACACAACCAGCTGGTGCTACTTCTGGCATTTTTGTTCGAGCCCCAATACTGGCACCCTTCAAAAAAGTTAGTTGTCTGAAGAAATATGCTATACATTCTTATCACTTAACATTCAAAGATCAAGAACCAAATTGGTTTGAGTAACTTGCTATTTATTTCTTACTCTGTTAATTCAGAAATAGTATAGATTTAGATAGTAAAGAATAAATTGTTCTTTTTAGTATGGTCTCGTAAACATATTTTAAGAAATGGCATGTGCATAGAGTAGAGAGAAATGAAAGCAAAATGCAGGAGAAATGAATTGTTATGCTTCTAAATGTAATAGTATAATGATTTATATTTCTGTGGTATGTGGTGGGGCACGGTTATAGCCTGTTACATGGATGACTGTCTTCTCATAGGTTTCATTGAACTGTGATTACTGAAAAGTCTTAGGAATTGTGGTTTAAAAGCATCCTAAGTCTATATACTTCAAGTTTTATACTTCATTGAACTTTTAATGTGATTTTTAATATGTTTTCAAATTTATATTTAGGGAGTGAGCCCTGAACCAATTCATCTTAAGATTTTTTCACCCAATGTTGTCAATTTGACACTGGTGGATTTGCCAGGAATGACCAAGGTAAGGACTCATGTTCATGTTCGCCCTTGAACCAATATGGGTTTTTCTTTCACCTCTTATGGGAACAGTGAGCTGTTGTATGCAGCCATACTTGGTCTGCTGTAGTATTTTTATAGGTTCCTTTCTCCTGGAACACTTTCCTTACTTGCTTCTGCATTTTGATCTCTAATGTCACTGAGTACTCAGTTTCTTTTGCTGGTTTCTTCTTATCTCCCCGAGGTCTAACCAATGAGTGACCTTGAGCTCAGGTTTTGTCCTCTTGTCCTCTTCTGGTACACTTACATTGTGATTAATTAGTGGGTTTTTTTGTTTTGTTTTGTTTTGTTTGCCAGTCTTGGGGCTTGAACTTGGGGCCTGGGCACTGTCTCTGAACTTCTTTTGCTCAAGGTTAGCACTCTCCCACTTGAGCCACAGTGCCACTTCTGGCTTTTTCTGTGTATGTGGTACTGAGGAATCAAACCCAGGCCTTCTTGCATGCTAGGTAAACACTACCACTAAGCCATATTCCCAGCCCAACCCTAGCAAGTTTACATACAGAAGTTTCTCTGTGTTGATTACATTCAGGTATCTCCAGCCCTGTATACCTATCCAGATACCCACTTGACATACACATGTGAATGTTCACTAGGTTTTTCTGACTTGATGTGTTTAATATCTAATTCCCAACCTGTCCTTCAACTCGATTTGATAGTTCTGTAGTTTTTGTCGACTCAATAAATGGCAGCTTCATTCTACTCCTGGTTTAGACAAAAGTTTCCAGTCATCTGTGACTTTTATCCTTCAGGTCTTCCCTGACTTGGAGGCCACCATCTTAGCTCTTCTTTCATTTGTAATAGAGCCTCAAAAAGAAAGTCCAAACTCAGTTACTTCTTACATGTTCATAGCTGGCCTAGCCACTGTCATCTTACCTGGATTTGTGCAATAATAATAATATAATTTTGAAAAATATTCTTTCATCCATTTTTTTTTTTTTTTTTGGTTGGTCATGGGGCTTGAACCCTGGGCCTGGGCACTGTCCCTGTGCTCTTCAGCTCAAGTTGAGTGCTCTGCCTCTTGAGCCACAGCGCCACTTCTGGTTTTCTAGTGTTTTATTGGAGATGAGAGTCTCAGGGACTTTCCTGCCCGGGCTATCTTTGAACCGTGATCCTCAGATCTCAGCCTCCTGTGTAACTAGGATTATAGGCGTGAGCCACCAGTGCCCGGCTTCTCTCATCCATTTTTAATAAAGCAACTTCAGTGATTGTGATTCTATTAAACTGAAAATGAGATTGTGTCATTTCTTGGCTGTAAGTCTTTCTAGTGGCTTCCTGCTCTACTTATCACGTCTGAAGTTTTACAGAGACACAAAGTATCTACTTGATATGTCTCTGTTTCCTCATCTAACTTGTGCTTCAGCTTCTTGCTCTTGCTGCTTACCCAAATGTAGAATGTTCGTTCTTTCTTCTTTTTTTTTTTTTTTTTTTTGGTTGGTCATGCGTGGGGCTTGAACTCTGGGTTTGGGTGCTGTCTCTCAGCTCTTCACCTCAAATCTAGCGCTCTACTACTTGAGCCACAGCATCACTTCTGGTTTTTCAGAGTGGTTTATTGGAGATAAGAGTCTCACGGAGTTTCCTGCCCAGGCTGGCTTTGAACTGTGTAGCTAGGATTACAGGTTTGAGCCACCAGCGCTCAGTGGAATGTTCTTTCTCAAATACCTGTATTCATCTCTCTCTTATTCCCTTTAATTTCTGTTTATTTTTCAAGTGTCAGTATCTCTATTTAAAGGCATAATCACTCTGTTTAAAAGCATAATGTAAGTAAAAACAATAACTTAAAAGGAGAATCCTCTGAAATCACTGCTTAACCTCCTATTCTGTTATAATCCTTTCACCACCTGATTTTGTGTATTCTCTACCTCTTGTCACCAAACATAATCTCTAAAAGGTCAAAACCTTTGACATTGTCTAAATTTACTATTGTAATATAATCTAGTATATATGAAAGAGTGCCTGAAATATAGTAGGCTGCTAGTTAACACTTGTTGAATGAATGAATGAGTGAATTTGTCTCTAGCTAGTTAGAATTGCCCAATCAACACAGGATTGTGTGCAGTAAACATTTATGCAGGAGTAAACTTTTAAAATTTGCAGGAATTACATTTTGAAACTTCCTACATTACCAAATACATAAATATACCCCTAGTGTATTATGAATTTAATTATTTTAAAATGCCAGGACTGGGAATAATGACAGCGGTAAAGTGCTTGCCAAGCATGCATGAAGCTCTGGGTTCGATTCCTCAGTACCACATAAACAGAAAAAGCTGAAAGTGTGCTGTGGCTCTTGGTAGAGCGCTAGCCTTGAGCACAGACAGGCTCAAGGACACTGCCTAGTCCCTGAGTTCAAGCTCCAGGACTGGCAATAATAAAAAGTGAAATAAAAATGCCAGGTGCCAGTGGCTTATACCTATAATCCTGGCTACTCAGGAGGCAGAGATCTGAGGATCGCAGTTCGAAGCCATCCAGGGTATGAAAGTCTGTGAGACTCTTATCTCCAATAACTACTACTAAAAAAAAAAAGCCAGAAGTAGCACTGTGGCTCAAGTGGTAGAGCACTAGCCTTTAGCAAAAGAAGCTCAGGAACAGCACCCATGCCCAGTTTAAGCCCTGGGACTGGCCAAAAAAAAAAAAAGGTGAAATACCTATTTTCTGTGGATTAACTGGGAAAAATGCTTTGAGTTGATGTTTATCATTAGCCCCTTGCTCATTTCTTTGGTTTAGGTGCCTGTAGGTGATCAACCTAAGGACATAGAGCTTCAAATCAGAGAGCTCATTCTTCGATTCATCAGCAACCCCAATTCCATTATCCTTGCCGTCACTGCTGCTAATACAGATATGGCAACATCAGAGGCACTGAAAATTTCAAGAGAGGTAGATCCAGATGGTAAGAACAGACGTTGATATTGAATGAGGTGCTTGATGCACAGTGGCAGATAAACCCTTAAGAAACTTGTGGTGCCTCACACATGTAATCCTGAGATCTGAGACTCAAGGTTTGAAACAAGCTCAGGCAGCAAGTCTGTGAGACTTCCTTTAATTAACAAAAAGCCAAAAGGAGGTGTGGCACAAGTGGTAGAGCACTCACTTTGAGTGAAAAATCTAGGGTCAGTGCCCAAGCCCTGAGTTCAAGCTCTATTACTGGCACAAGCAAAAAGAGAACTTGTATTTATAAAAGGAGTGGCTTTTAGTTAACACAAATTAAAAAAAAATATTTTTCCATTTTCCTTATAATTTCAAGTAGAGATTTGATGGAAAAGTAGGTAAAAATACTTTATATAATGTGTTTATTTGCAATAGCTATCTAAAGATGCTAACAATACTGTGGTTTTGTGTAAATAAAATGTCTGAGATTTGTGAATGGTTATTTTGTAAGAAAAAATAACTCATAGTTGGTAATCAATGTAGAAAGAATGATGTTTTCTACATTCTATAGAGATAGAACACATTCAGACGATGCTCAAGGCATAGTGGATTCTTAGAAGTAAAGGTAAAATCTTTTTAGGAAGCATTTGTTAACTCCAAGAATTAGTTCATATTGCTTTTCAGTGATTCTTGACTAAAGAGAGAGGGATTTCATAGTCTATATAAAATATTAGCCTGTGAGTGAGTGATTATTGTTGCTTTTAATATTTGCCTTATTTTTTAAAATCTTTGGAGGGTCTGAAGGCTGTGTCATATTTTTATTTTCCTGCTTCAAAGAATTTCAAATAAAAATATTGTTAGAACATGTTAGTACTGAGCTAACAGGTTTATTTTATTTATTTATTTTTTTTTGTCGGTCGTGGGGCCTGAACTCTGGGCCTGGGCTCTGTCCCTTAGCTCTTCAGTTCAAGGCTAGCACTCTACCACTTGAGCTACAGCGCCACTTCCGGTTTTCTGGTGGTTTATTGGAGATAGGAGTCTCACGATCTCTCCTGCCCGGGCTGGCTTTGAACCGCGATCCTCAGATCTCAGCCTCCTGAGTAGCTAGGATTACAGGCGTGAGCCACCAGCGCCCGGCAGCTAACAGGTTTATTTAACATGCTGTTTTCTTTCTTGCCTTGGCCAGGTCGCAGAACCCTGGCTGTGATCACTAAGCTTGACCTGATGGACGCAGGCACTGATGCCATGGATGTGTTGATGGGGAGAGTCATTCCAGTGAAGCTTGGCATCATTGGCGTGGTCAACAGGTCAGCATTCAAGAGCGGGGCGTGAATTATACATTCTCATTTCAAAACTATCAATCTCAAGTCACTCACCATAATTTTCCTCTTCTTCTGTAATGTTGGTACTGCTGGAGAATGCATTACTTTAAAGACAGAAAAGAGATTCACTAAAATCTCTTGTAGACAGTGCTAGTAGAAATTGTTTCCAAAATAGTGGCACAAAATGGAATATAATTAATCATGGGGCTTCAAGAATGCTTGCCTATTATGTAAGCTGTAAGGGGCACTGGATAAAAGTATTACTTAGTTTTTACCCAGTCAAGAAAGTTTGAGGTCAGGGCTGGGAAGGTAGGTCAGTGGTAGAGTGCTTGACTTGCATGCATGAGGCCCTGGGTTCGATTCCTCAGCACCACATAAGAAAAAAGAAAAAAGCCGGAAGTGGTGCTGTGGCTCAAGTGGTAGAGCGCTAGCCTTGAGCTTGAAGAGCTGAGGGACAGTGCCCACGCCGAGTTCAAGCCACATGACTGACAAAAAAAAAAAAAGGATTAATGTAAGATTCAAAACTATCTGTGTCAGGTATTAAGGAAACAATACCTGGGTCTGGTGCAGTGGAATATCTCTGTAATCTCACCTGCTTGGGAGGTAGAGATCTAGGAGAATTGCAAGTTTGGGCAAATAGTTAATGAAGACCACTCCCCACCCCCCAATCTCAACAAAACAAGTTGAGCATGGTGGTGTGCACCTGTTCCCCAGTACATGTGAGGCTATAGAAAGATCTTGGTCCAGGGATGATCTAGGCCATAAGCAAGATCCTGTCTGAGAAATAAAGCAAAAAAGGCTGGCAATGTGGGTCAAACGGTATAGCACCCGACTACCTAGCAAGTGTGAAGCTCTGAGCTCAGCTCCTCCCACAAAAGGGAACAATGGCTGGTGCTAACATGAACCCATCATCATCTAGGGAAAGGAGAAGATGATAACTGACTTTAAAATAGTTTTAAATAACTTTACCATTTTTCAACCATAGGAGCCAGCTGGATATTAACAATAAGAAGAGTGTAACTGATTCAATCCGGGATGAATATGCTTTTCTTCAAAAGAAATACCCATCTCTTGCCAACAGAAATGGAACAAAGTATCTTGCTCGGACTCTGAACAGGTAACATTTTCATCTTTTTTTCCCCCTAGCTTGAAATCAGGGCCTCCTGCCCTTGCTTGGTGTTTTCCCACTTGAGCTATATCACCAGTTCCAGCTTTTGCTGAAATTGTTATCTGGAGATACGGCATGCAGGCATGCAGATTTGACGACTTAGGCTGGCTCCAAACCATGATCCTCAGCTCTCCGCCTTCTGAATAGTTAGGATTACAGACATGAGCCACCAGTGCTTACCCACATTTTCATTTTCCCTTTTTGAAAAGGAGGTGCTTTGGTTTTGCCAGTAGGTGTCTGAGACTGTTTCTTTACAGTTCTTGTAAAGTAGATGTCTTTTTCAGAGGGCAGCTAGTACTAAATAATCAAATGTATTTAAAATATTGAAGTACATGTTTTTGTGGGGTTTTTGTTTTTTTTTTTTTCATTTTTTGGTGCTAGTCCTTGGGCTTAAACTCAGTGCCTAGCTGCTGCCCCTGAGCATCTTCACTTAAGGCTAGTACTCTTCAGCTTATTGGTGTTTAGTTAGAAATGAGTCTCACATGGACTTTTCTGCCCCAGCTGGCAGAATTTCAGTCCTTAGATCTCAACCTTCTGAGTAGTGATGATTACAGGCATGAGCCACCAGTGCCCAGCAATGACGAAGTTTTAATAGTTATTCTAGTTTTGAGGTTACAACTAGTTATCAATGACTTTAATTGAAAAGCTGAAGTAAAATTTATAGTTTTCATACCATTATTTTTAGTTTGGAGTTTTTTCTGTTCCTATTGGTAGTAGAAGTAATGTATGTTGTATACCTTGTTCCTTGCTGATGGCATAGGAACATTCTAGATTATAAGTGACTGGATAAATGAAAGCCATTTTTCTCTTTGTTTTGTCTAATCCCTAAATGAAAGGCAAATTGTATGTGGATCTGAATAACGTGGGTTTACACTATTCTGGGGCCTCCTATAAAAGATGAGCTGATAAAACCAGATTATATGGGCAGAATTGGACTGACAGGCTTTTCTTGTGGTAAAATGATAGTAATAGGAAAATAATTTTTTTTTTTTTTTTTTTTTTTTGTCGGTTGTGGAGCTTGAACTCTGGGCTTGGGCACTGTCCCTATGCTCTTCAGCTCAAGGTCAGTGCTCTACCACTTGAGCCATAGCGCCGCTTCTGGTTTTCTAGTGGTTTATTTGAGATAAGAGTCTCACGGACTTCCTGCCTGAGTAGCTAGGATTACAGGCGTGAGCCACCGGTGCCCGGCATCATCTGCATTTTAAAAATTTATATTTGGCCAGGTGCTGTTGACTCACACCTGTAATCCTGGCTACTAAGGAGACTGGGATCTGAGGATCCAGGTTCAAAGCCAGACCAAGCAGGAAAATTTGTGAGCTTTTTAGCTGCAATTAAGCACCCTCCCAAAAAAGCTGGAAGTTGGAGATGTGGCTCAAGTGGTAGAATGCTGTCCTTGAGCAGAGAGCTTGTGGGTAGTGCATAGATCCTGAGTTCAAAGTCCCAGGCCTGACATTAAAAAAATTAAAATATTATGTTTAGTTTTCTGTAACAGTCCCCACAAAGGCAGATGTCAAAAGCATTGACCAAAACATCTTCATTTATGTCATTTTTGACAAAGGTGTTCACCTGTAATCTAAGATTGCTTAATTACCTACTATTGTGATACAGGAAAACCAACTGAAATGGGAGCAGAGATGCTTCAATCATCTCTTTGGGGGTTTACCCATTTCTTTTTGTTGTTGTTGTTGTGAGGCTTGAACTCAGGGCCTGGGTGCTGTCTCTGAGCTCTTTTGCTCAAGGCTAGTGCTCTACCACTTTGGCCCACAGCTCTACTTCAGTTTTTTGAATGGTTAATTGAAGTTAAGAGCCACTGGGATTCTTCTGTCCAGGCTGGCTTTGAGACATGATCCTCAGATCTCAACCTCCTGAGTAGCTAGGACTACAGGAGTGAGTCACTGGGGCCTGGCTAGGTTTTCCCATTTCTCCAGTCAGGCAATTGTCTGTGAATTCTCCCCAGGTGTCCTTTAACTCAGTTTAAGGAAGATATCACTGTTTACCTAGAAAACACTAGGTAATACACTTTACCTAGAAATTGGCATTAGATCTCATAGCTGGAGGGATCACTCCTACAAGACTGCCCTTCCACTTCAAGCATCAGTTATCAGCACACAGTTATAACCTTGGCTCCTGACTGGCTTTAAATTCAGCTTCCTTCAATTCTTTGGGTCCAATTGATTTCCTAAAGTGGGTCCCGACTCAGAGAATGTTAACTTATATATATTCACTTATTATAAAGAATATTACAAAAGATGAAGATGAACCAGTTGGGAGAAAGCAAGGCACATAGGATGAGTCAGAATGACCCCAGAACTTAGCTTTCATACTCCTGGAGCTTGTGTGTGTTTAGCTGCATAGTCATTGTCCTGAGTTTTCATGGCAGCTTCATTGCATAGACATGAGTCTGTCATTGGCCTTCGGTGATCAGTTCAACTGCCAGCCTCTCTCACACGGCTGGAGATTGGGGTATCTTATCTTGCCTTTGGAGGTGCCAGCGCTTTTAGGAGCTGCACACCAGGCAATGTGGCAGATGATCACATCCAGATTTCCCAATATCATAAATTATTTGACAGGTTGTCCCCTTTATTTGTACTTAAAGCATGGTCTTTTTTTTTCAGGTTACTTATGCATCACATCCGAGATTGCTTACCAGAGCTGAAAACAAGAATAAACGTTCTAGCTGCTCAGTATCAGTCTCTTCTAAACAGTTACGGTGAACCTGTGGATGATAAAAGTGCTACTTTACTCCAGCTTATCACCAAATTTGCCACAGAATATTGTAATACAATTGAAGGAACTGCAAAATATATTGAAACTTCAGAGCTGTAAGTTAAACATTTTTGTAGACTTCGTAACCTAGATTGCAAGGTCACTGTCTTTTGTTAAAGTGACTAAAATTATCTGATTGTGACTTCTTATCCATAAGGCAAAAATATGATTTTACAAAAATGGGTAGGATAACTAGTATGTGTGTAAAATGCTTTGTAAACTATGCAGTATAAACTACTGTGCTTTTTTGGGGAGTACTGGGGTTTGAAGCAAGCACTCTACCACATAAGCCACACTCCAGTCTACTGGTTTTGTTTTCTCTCCCTTTCTCCTGTGCCACTAGTGGGGCTTGAATTCAGAATCCTGGATGCTGTCCCTTTTTTTTTTTTTTTGCTGCAGATGAGCACTATCACTTGAGCCACAGCTCTACTTCTTACTTTTTGGTTATTAACTGGAGATAAGTCTATAGGACTTTAGCCTGGGTTGGCTTTGAATGGAGATCCTCAGATCTCAGTCTCCTAAGTGGCTAGGTTTATAGGTGTGAACCAGTAGTGCCCACCTAAACTAAAAGCATGGTAACAATTTGAGGTCTTTTAGAAAGCAATATTTTTACTTGATACTCATTTTTAAATCTTTTTTTTTTTTCTCCCTGAGGTCTCACTGTTGGCCAGACTGTCCTCAAACTCATGATCCTTTTTCCTCAGCCCCTCAAGTAGCTAGGATTTTAGGAGTGAGACATATGCCATATTCTGAAATCTTCCTTAATTTAACTTTTAAAATATTCTGTCAGGTGCTAGGGCTCACACCTGTAATTCTAGCTACTCAGGTGGCTGAGATCCAAAGATCAAAGTTCCAGGTTAGCTCAGGTGGACAAATCTAAGAGAAAAATCTGAGTTCAGGCACCAGGACCAGAAGAAAAAAAATAAATCAAAATTACCCTTAATTTTTACCAATTAGAGATTATTCTTGCTAAGTTTGACATTGTCCTAGACAAGTACTGGTCAAGAAATTGAATTTGTTAAAACAGAATTAGGCAATCAACAGGTCATCAGTTAATAATTATTTTTAAAATTATATTAGAAGTAATAATTAGATATGTAATAAAAATGATAATTATGTAGCTATATAACTATTTCAATTTTTTATAAAAAATTAAACATGAGAAAACATCTAAGGAGATTATTTCTTATTTGAAAATTACACAAAATTTAGATTTCAGTGTGAGCTCGCCCTATGGTAAAAGTATGCTGAACTTTACCTTCCATTTCATGAATCTTGAGAAACAAATATGGCATTGTTTGCTGTCTTTAGGAGCTCAAAAGCTAGTTAAGGAGAACTAGGCAGAGAAAAGCTGTTCAGCAATACCTGATTGACTGATTGATTGATTGATTGATTTTGGGTCCGGTCATGGGGCCTGAACTCTGGGCCTGGGTGCTGTCCCTCAGCACTTCAGCTCAAGGCTAGCGCGCTACCACTTGAGCCATAGCACCACTTCTGGCTTTTTTTTTTTTTTTTTTCCTGCTTATGTGGTGCTGAGGAATCGAACCCAGGACCTCATGCATACAAGGCAAGTGCTCTACCACCCAGCCACCTCCCCAGCCCCAATACCTGATGTTTTATGCTTACAAACACATGGACATGGGAATAGATGAAGTAGAATTTTTTATATTTTTTAGTTCTATTTTTGTCAGTCATGGGGCTTGAACTTGGCCTGAATGCTGTCCCTGAGCTTTTTTGCTCAAGGCTAGCACTCTACCATTTTGAACCACAACACCACTTCTGGTTTTGTGGTGGTTAATTGGAGATGAGTCTCATGGACTTCCATACCCTGGCTGACTTTGAACAATGATCCTCAGATTTCAGTCTCCTGAGTAGCCAGGATTAGGGTGCCCAGCAAATAGAATTATTTATGAGATAAATTTGAAGAGTTCCGACTTTTAGCTTCTTTGTTATATAGTAATACAAATAATCCTATAATTCATTGTCTTTCAGATGCGGTGGTGCTAGAATTTGTTATATTTTTCATGAGACTTTTGGGAGAACTTTAGAATCTGTTGACCCCCTGGGTGGCCTTAACACTATTGACATTTTGACTGCTATTAGAAATGCTACTGTGAGTATGCTTAACTTTCAGACTTCAAAAATGAGGTTAAAGCCCTTTTTTAAAAACTATATGCTATATATATATATATTTTTTTTTTTTTTTTGTCGGTTCTGGGCCTGGGCGCTGTCCCTGCGCCCTTCAGCTCAAGGCTAGCGCTCTACCTCTTGAGCTACAGCACCACTTCCTGTTTTCTAGTGGTTTATTGGAGATAAGAGTCTCAAGGACTTTCCTGCCTGGGCTGGCTTTGAACCGTGATCCTCAGATGTCAGCCTCCTGAGTAGCTAGGATTACAGGCGTGAGCCACCGGCGCCCGGCTTATCTTACTATTTTTTTAAACAGTACTGGGTTTGAACCTGGGGGCCACATGTGTGTGTTAGGCAGGCACTCTACCACTTGAGCCAAGCCACTATCCCTTTTTTATTTTTTTTTTTATAAACTGTTATTATTACCTTTAAGTACTTGTATAAAAGGATTTCAATTCAACAGGTCAAATTATGAGTTAAAAGTGCTGTGAGCAATGTTAGTCCTTCCATTGTTTTCCCCCATCTCTCTCAATCCCACTGATTCCCTCCACTTATCTGGTTCTGTTTTTACACATGAGTACTGTATTTGCCCACCCTCTCTCTCTCCTTCTGTTTCCCCTACTACCCAGCAAAACCTGTTTTAGCTTCCTGGTATTCATTTTGTTAAACTGTAAGGTATTGTTACTAATGAATTGTTACACCGAGGGAATCCTTCCCACTATCCTTTAGTCAATTTGTTTGTATATGTATATAAGCATATGACTCAGAATATGTTCTCATATAATTTGGATCAAACTTCCACATATGGGAGAAACATGCACTATTTGTATTTCTGAGCCTGAGTTACTTCACCTAGCTAGCATAAGTTTTTCTAGGTCCATCTATTTCCTTACAAATGATCTCTGATAGATGAGTACGATTCCATTGTATGTATGTATATGCGTGTACATGCATTCTCTGCGTATATACATTCTCTCACGTTTTCTCCATTTGCCCATTGAGGGGCGTCTGGGCTCTTAACTTGGCTATGGTGATAGTGCAGCAGTGAACATGGACGTGCAAAGGTCTTTACTGTGTCCTGACTTGTAATGTTCTGGATAGATACCCAAGAGTGGTATTGCTAGATCATAGGGAAATTTTTAAAACAAGCCAGCAATCCTGTTTTTGTTTCTAATGTAGCTTAGATGGTAGGCACACATGGTCACACCCAGCTTTTGATTGATTGAGATCGGATCTTATGAACTTAATGTTCTCAGTTGAGTCTCATTGCTCCCAGTCCTCCCCTTATCCACCACCCTAAGCAGCTAGGGTTACAGGCAGAAGCCACCATGCCCAGCCTCTTTATTTTGTTTTTGGCCAATCCTGGGGCTTCAACTCAAAGCCTGGGCACTGTCCCTGAGCTGCTCTTGCTCAAGTCTAGCACTCTACCACTTGAGCCACAGCACCATTTCTAGCCTTTTTGTTTGTGGTACTGAGGAAACAAACCTAGGACTTCATACATGCTAGGCAAGCACTCTACCACTAAACCACATTCCCAGCCCACCAGCCTGCCTTATTTATTTATTTATTTATTTCTGGTCAGTCGTGGGGCTTGAACTCTTGGGCACTATCAGCTCTTTAGCTCAAGGCTAGCGCTCTACCACTTGAGTTACAGCGCCACTTCCGGTTTTCTGTTGGTTTATTGAGATGAGTGTCACAGACTTTCCTGCCTGAGCTGGCTTTGAACTGAGATCCTCAGATCTCAGCCTCTTGAGTAGCTAGGATTACAGGCTTGAGCCACCCACACTGGACTCAGCCTGTCTCTTTTAAAGTGACTGTATAGTTTGTCTTCATTTTGCTCTCATTCTTGAAGCAGCACTTTTCAGGAAAAATACCAAAAATGTGATTTCACTTTGTAACTTTTGTGAACTCACACATGGCTGCCAATAATGAGCTAGAGTTTGTATTGTTTCAGGGACCTCGTCCTGCTTTATTTGTGCCTGAGGTTTCCTTTGAGTTGCTGGTAAAGCGGCAGATCAAACGTCTGGAGGAGCCCAGCCTGCGCTGCGTGGAGCTGGTGCACGAGGAGATGCAGAGGATCATTCAGCACTGCAGCAATTACAGCACACAGGTAACGGGTGGTGGCCAGTCAGGAAACACAAGGCGAGCTCCCTACTTGTCTAGGAAGTGATTTGAAATGTATTTATCACTTTGGTGTTTCAGTGTTAATTTGCCATTAACCAAAACAGACTGACATTTTTATTTCTCTATCATACACAGGAATTGTTGCGGTTCCCTAAGCTTCATGATGCCATAGTGGAAGTGGTGACTTGTCTTCTCCGTAAGCGGCTGCCTGTCACCAATGAAATGGTGAGTGGCTATTTCGTGGTTCATTTTAATTACCCCAAGTGACAGCTTAGACCTTAGCTGCTTATTCTATAGCATTGTGGTTACTTTTGAGTTTAGGCACATCTTGCCAGGAAAATGAATCTTATTCCCAAAAAGAACTTGTGATAATTCTAGTACAAAGTGCATTTTTTTCCTTCATAATTTCATAATTGCTAACCTATAGCCATTCATTGTTGTGAGGAATGAATAACTTTGCTTGGTTAATGTTGTACCACTGACTTTAATGGAGAAATTAGTTCTGCCTTTAGCTTTTGTGAACTGAGTCTGTATTGCAAGCTTACTTTAACTGTGATGAAATTAATATTTTATTAATGTGATTAAAATCACATCAAGTTAATGTTTGCTCAAAGATGGCACTTGAGCCATATACCTCCATTTCGGGCTTTTTGGTGGCTAACTGGAGATAAAGAATCCTATGGACTTTCCTGACTGGGCTGGCTTCGAAGTCAGTCCTCAGATCTCAGCCTCCACCAACACCTGGCCCTATTAGGTGTTTTTGTTTTGTTTTGTTTTGTTTTGTTGTCGGTCATGGGGCCTGAACTCTGGGACTGGCACTGTCCTTCAGCTCTTCAGCTCAAGGCTAGTGCTTTACCGCTTGAGCCACAGCGCCACTTGCGGCTTTTTCTGCTTATGAGATGCTGAGGATTGAACCCAGGGCCTCATGCATGCAAGGCAAGCACTCTACCACTAAACCATCTTCCCAGCCCCCAATTAGGTTTTGATCACGTATCATCTGCCCACCCAGGCTAGTCATTACCTCTAGTCTAAATGTATTCTTTTTTTTGGGTCCGGTCGTGGGGCCTGAACTCTGGGCCTGGGCGCTGTCCCTCAACTCTTCAGCTCAAGGCTAGCACTCTACCACTTGAGCCACAGCGCCACTTCTGGCTTTTTTCTTTTTGCTTATGTGGTGCTAAGGAATCGAGCCCATGGCCTCAGGCATGCAAGGCAAGCGCTCTACCACTGAGCCACCTTCCCAGCCCCTTTTTTTCTTTTTGCTTATGTGGTGCTGAGGAATCGAACCCAGGGCCTTATGCATGCAAGGCAAGCGCTCTACCACTGAGCCACCTTCTCAGCCCTCTAAGTCTATTATTTATCCTATTAAAGATAATTTCTTTTTTTTTTTTTTTTTTTTTTTTTTGCCGGTCGTGGGGCTGAACTGGGCCTGGGTGCTGTCCCTCTTCTACCACTTGAGCCACAGTGCCACTTCCGGCTTTTTCTGCTTATATGGTGTTGAGGAATCGAACCCAGGGCCTAATGCATGCGAGGCAAGCACTCTACCACTGAGCCAACTACCCAGCCCCTAAAGTTAACATCTTTATGTCTGATGTGAACTGTTTTCTTGTTGAAGATGAACTAAATGCTTGATGTAGATTAAAAAGAGATCTGAAATTTTAGTGTTGGAACTTAGATTTCCTTTTAAGACTTTTTTTCTTCCTCAAAAATGCAATTTTAAATGCTGAAATGTAAATTAACGTTAAATTATTACTTGACAAAGATTTATCACTTGGATTATAACTTACTATACTTAGGCATGCATTTCATATGCTTTTTCAGTATGTTTTGTTACTCTATAGCTTTACACATCAACATTTCAAAGTAGACATATTTTTGTCTGCTAGGCTAATTTTATTCTTTTTCCTAGGTCCATAACTTAGTGGCAATTGAGTTGGCTTACATCAACACAAAACACCCAGACTTTGCTGATGCTTGCGGGCTAATGAACAATAATATAGAGGTAAACAAAAATTGTCCTTGTACAGATTGGAAATTTGTTGTAACTAAATTTACAGCAGACTTACTTAGCATTAAAACTTTAGTTAACTATAAAACACCTGTGCCATATTAGTGCCTGCCATACACCAGAAAGCATGCTGATATTATTTTTTTTTAATTTAATTTCTTTAAAATCATGAAATATAATTTCTTTAAAATCATGAAATAACCGTTACTTTCTGCTATGACACAGAGAGAGCAAATCTGGGCCTTCATCTGCCTGACTTTGTTTCAGTAACTGGTATACTTGTGCAAGTGTTTTAAGATTGTTTTTACTTGGCTCTGTAAGCTGTGAAAGAAGCACTCTAAGAATGGCCTACCTGTTCACAAACTGGAACTGCCAAGGACTCCCTATGCTCTCCTGGATGGATGATGCATCTCATGGACTTTTTTTCCATTAATGTTAATGTAACACAGTGCATAAAGGCTAGTAGCCACAAATTTTCTAGAAGGTGTCCCCCACAACTCCCTCTGTTATTCCCTAGTACCACGAAACCTAAATCTCCTTCTACATTGAATTTCTCTTTTCTGAGTGGAGAGAAAATTATTTGGAAACTGGAAAGGACCCTGGGTTTTCAACTTGAACACTGTATAAAACATGACAAAAGCCGAGTGCTAGTGGCTCACGCCTGTAATCCTAGCTACTCAGGAGGCTGAGATCTGAGGATCGCGGTTCAAAGCCAACCCGGGCAGGAGAGACCGTGAGACTCCTATCTCCAATAAACCGCCAGAAAACCGGAAGTGTCGCTGTAGCTCAAGTGGTAGAGTGCTCGCCTTGAGCTGAAGAGCTGAGGGACAGCGCCCAGGCCCAGAGTTCAAGCCCCACGACCGACAAAAAATAAAAATAAAAAATAAAAAAATAAAACATGACAAAATGGAGGGCCACAGAGAGTATTGGTGATTCCTTCCATGCTTATGAGCTATTACAGAAAACAGCACCTTTGCTGGGTGCTGGTGGCTCATGCCTATAATACTAGCTACTCAGGAGGCTGAGATCTGAAGATCACAATTCAAAGCCGGCCTGGGCAAGAAAGTCTGTGAGACTCTTATCCCCAGTTAAGCACCAGCAAAGCTGGAAGTAGCCTTGAGCAACTAAAGCTCAGGGATACCCCTCAGGCCCTGAGTTCAAGCCCCAGGAATGGCAACAAAAAAAGCCCCAACACCTTCTGTTTAACAGGTACTTGGAAGTAGAATTTTCCCCATGACCCCCAAATTCCAAGATACATACAGTAAAGCTCTTGAAAACACTTAGAAAAAAAGTAGCTCCCATAGCACTTCCTTACTTTTTAAGAATTTACTGTTTGCCTCTTCCATTGAAACCAACTACTGGAGCAGATTTGTGACCTGTGATGTGGCTTTAGAGTATATTTTTTTCTTTTTCTTTTCTTTTTTTTTTTGTTGTGGGGCTTGAACTAAAGGCCTGGGTACTATCCTGAGTGTTTCTGTCCAAGTCTAAAGCTCTACCCTTTGGCCCATGGTGCTGCTTCTGGTTTACTGATGGTTAATTGTAGATAAGAGTCTCATGTACTTTCCTGCCCAGGTGGGTTTTGAACTGCAATCTTCAGATCTCAGCCTCCTGAGTAGTTAGACTTACAGGCGTGAGCCACTGGCACCTGGCTAAGAGCGTATTTTTCACAATGAACATGCCTGTTCATGTGGTTTTAATGACTGCCAAGAAACTTTATTGGGAATATTCACTTAATCTATACACTTACCCTTTGAGAGTAGCTGTTAATAAATTCGAAGCTGAAGGCTAAGGAAGAGTTAACAAAGCAAGTAAGCTAGGTCTGTTGGGCTCCAGGGCCAGTAAAGTTGAAACTGACTGTTTTCTAAAGACTGTTAAAAATCTGTAAATCTGTGTTTTTTCCCCCCACTGGCTAACCTTTTGTTTTGGTTGGTCATGGGGCTTGAACTCTGGGCTTGGATGCTGTCCCTGAGCTCTTCAGCTCAAGGCTAGTGCTCTACAAATGAGCCATCTCCAGTTTTCTGGTGTTAATTGGAGATAAAAGTCTCATGGGCTTTCCTGCCAGGCTTTAGCTTTGAACCACGATCCTCAGATCTCAGCCCCCTGAATAGTTAGGATTGTATAGGTGTGAGCCACCAATGCCTGACTCTGGTTAACTTCTTTTTTTTTTTTTTGTGGGGGTGGGGGGTTTGGTTGTGGGGCCTGAACTCTGGGCGTGGGTGCTTTCCCTCAGCTCTTCAGCTCAAAGCTAGTGCTCTACCACTAGTGCGCCACTTCCAGCTTTTTTTTCTTTTTGCTTATGTGGTGCTGGGGAATCGAACCCAGGGCCTCATGCATGCAAGGCAAGCGCTCTACCACTGAGCCACCTTCCCAGCCCATGGTTAACTTCTTATGAAGAAGATGTGAACAGTTAAAAATTTCTGTTAAAAAAATGTTACATGTAAAACACATTATGGACCTGTGGAACTCACAGGTTTTTACCAGCTTGAGGGTATGCATGAAGTGCTTTCATTGTAGGAGCAACTTTTGCTTTAATTCACTTTTCTACTGTATTTGATGCTGCCTGTAAGAGATCCATTATCCTCACATCATTCCATACAACCAGCCCCCCAGTACATGTTGAATGACCTTTACAGCTTATATGAGTTTGATAATACAAGCAAAATTGCAATAGTGAGCAGTTGGTCAGTCTGTTAAATTAACTGGGCTGTCATCACTTTCTAGGAAATAGTTTAGAATTAAGAATACTTCTGGGCCGGGCACTGGTGGCTCATGCCTATAATTCTAACTATTCCCAGGAGGCTGAGATCTGAGGATCAAGTGATGTTTAAAGCCAGCTGGAGCAGGAAAGACATACTTTCAATTAACCACCAGAAAAACTGGAAGTAGAGCTGTGGCTCAAAGTGGTAGAGCATTAGCCTTGAGCAAAAAGAGTACAGGGACAACACTCAGGCCCTGAATTCAAGCCCTATGACCCCCCACCAAAAAACAAAACCTTTTGGTTGTTTTAAAAATCATTTTTATGGGGGCTGGGAAGGTGGCTCAGTGGTAGATTGCTTGCCTTGCATGCATGAGACCCTCGGCACCACATAAGCAAAGAGAAAAAAGCCGGAAGTGGTGCTGTGGCTCAAGTGGTAGAGCGCTAGCCTTGAGCTGAAGAGCTGAGGGATAGCGCCCAGGCCCAGAGTTCAGGCCCCACGACCGGACCCAAAAAAAAAAAATCATTTTTATTACTGTATATTAATTGTATGAAATAGTTCCTTTTGGGTAGTACTGGGGTTTGATCCTAATTAGGGCCTGAGCTTTTAGGCAGACACTCTGTTAAGCCACACCACTAGACTTGTGTTTTTGTTGTTGTTCTTATCTTTGACAGAACTTCAATTCCTGCCAAATGTTGAGTCTTCCCGTTAGGCTTCTCTTGGTTGGATAAGTGGGTGGGTGTCACTAGGTCTAGCTCTCCTTTTGGGTATTGTGGACTTTTCTGCCGGGTTTGGCCTGGAACCATTGTCCTCCCAATCTCAGACTGTATGGAGCTAGTATTATAGGTTTTTGAGTCACTGGCACTGGGCTCAAAAAACATTTAAAAAACAGCAAACTCAACCTCAGATACTTCCTCAAGGAACGGTTTTGTTAGGGAGTTGTCTTGCAGTTACACACACGTGCAGATGAGCAACTTTAAAGCTTTCACTTCAAATTCTGCACGGGATGCTGAAGGCTGATGTTTCTCATTTATGACAGGACAGTTGAAATCAGTCTTTCTTAGTGGGAAAGGGAAAGCTGTCCATTCATTTTCTCACTGGAGAATTCCTGGTATAGAGAGCCATCTATACCAGGAAACAATAGCCCACCTCATTGACGCATTGGATCTTGAGGTATGCTGGGGCAGAAAGCAAGATGGAGAAGCACTGGGCTAAATGATTTATCTGCTTTAAAGTAGCATTGTGCCATGTGTCTTAACAATGAGAGTGTACAAGTCATGCCATACTTTCTAGACAAGATGACCATTTTTTAGTTGGCATCTCAATATTCTGATAATCACTTTTTTTTGTCTGCAATTTTATAGGAACAGAGAAGAAACAGGTTAGCAAGAGAATTGCCTTCAGCTGTATCGCGGGACAAGGTAAAAAACAACAGCTTTTTAAAAGCATACTTCTAATTCCCAAAAATGGATTGTTAGTAAGCCTCAGAATATTACACAGTTGCAGAATCAACTTTGGTTGTGTAGCTGAAGAAAGGTATGTAAGTTTAACATAGACTGAATAAAGATAATTGTATTAGAATACACTGCAGTTAAGTTAGCTTAAAGATGCTTAGGAAGTATGAGGGCTTCCTTTAAAAAAAAATCATCAAAGGGTTTTTTTTTTTTTTTGACGAGGGAAGACTACTGTATGCACAGAACAGGTTTTAATTAATAATAAGTATAGTAGTTTGTGTATTAAAGTGTGTATATATACAATCTGTTGCCTTGAATTCTTTGCCAGAAAAGATCTCATTCAGTGCCAAAAACAAAATGAAGCTTTTGGATTTTTCTTAGGTATTCATCTGAAGAAAACTTTTCACAAAGGTAGTGAGGCCGACTAGACCACTTTACCTGTCCCATAATTTTTGTTTTTCATGTATTTTAATATTGTTTCAGAGGAAAAACAGGTCACATTGATCAATTGTTTGAGTATACTTTTGGCATCCTTGTTTTTGTTTTTTTCCTGCATTTTTTGCCCGTAGTCTTCTAAAGTTCCAAGTGCTTTGGCACCTGCCTCCCAGGAGCCCACCCCTGCCGCTTCTGCCGAGGCTGATGGCAAGGTCTGTTCTAATTTTAATCTAAGCCTGCATGCCTGCTTGCTCGCTGCAACATAATCTTCTACAGACAGCACACTGAATAGAAGACTATTAATATGGGGTATTATGCTAAGGTTAAATCACTTGTCTAATTGAAGCTTTGAAATTCTGTAACACTGCATTCTTTACAAATGTTGGCATGCTTTTGCTTGCAATGTAGAAGATGCACACACAAAAGAAGTAATTTAAAGAGGAAATTATCCTGCGTTTTTTATTTTTAAGCCATTGGTATTTAAATTTTGCTTGTTAAATTGCATGTTTTAACATATCTTTTAACAGTTAATTCAGGAGAGCAGAAGAGAAACTAAAAATGTGAGTCTCTTGCTTCAGAATGGAAATACCTTTGGTTCTCACTGAAACACTGTCTTCAGTCATTGAAACTTGTTTGTACAGTGGCATCACTAGTTCCTGTCTGTTATGTTCTTAATGTTCCTTTTATCTAACACATGTAAGGTGGCACTAACCGTTTTAACACTGTTTAATAACAATAGGCTTTCATACTGTTACCAAAATTAAAAACTGTTCTTGAAGGTAAGGAATTATGATTTCAGAGATGGAAATTGGCCGAGTGCTGGTGACTCATGCCTCTAATCCTGGTTAGTCAGGAGGCTAAGATCTGAGGATGGTGGCTCAGGCAAGAAACAAGTCTTGAGACATTTATCTCCAATTAAGGACAATGCTGGAAGTGGGGCTCTGACTCAAGTGGTAGAGTGCTAGTCTTGAGTGAAAAAGGTAAGGGACAGCACCTGGCCCTGGGTTCAGGCTCTACTACCAGTATAAATTTTGGTAGGGATTTCACAGGTGGAAATTATACTTTTGAGCATTTCTGAGATCTGAGCAGGACTCATGGATAATCCTCTAATGCTGCTTTATCATGCTACTCATTTGTGTGTGTGTGTGTCACTGTGAATATGTACATTCCCTCACACAGGCTTTAAATGCTTACCTGAGCCAATTAAAACAGATGTGGACTGTGAGAGTTTAGACAGCTGTCAATTCCTGATGACATTTCTGCAGGAATTTCTATGTGTGAACCAGTTTGTCCAGCATTTACCTCCTTTCCTCACTTAGTATGCAGACTTACGGTTGTAAATCTCATAGCCTTAAGAATGTTTTATTTTAATGCATGTACTGACAACCACTTAAGTCATCCATAGCACCCCTTGGAATGTGCTCATTCACTTCCTTAGGGTTTCACTCATCACTCATTCCCTTTTAACACACCGATACATAGCTCACTTTTAACATATTAGAGGCAGATTTGGGCCAGTGGTTCAATTTGGAAATGATACCCAACACTGCCATTTTCTTTTTTTTTTTTTTTTGGGTCCGGTCATGGGGCCTGAACTCTGGGCCTGGGCGCTGTCCCTCAGCTCTTCAGCTCAAGGCTAGCACTCTACCACTTGAGCCACAGCGCCACTTCCGGCTTTTTTCTTATGTGGTGCTAAGGAATCGAACCCAGGGCCTCGAGCATGCAAGGCAAGTGCTCTACCACTGAGCCACCTTCCCAGCCCCAACACTGCCATTTTCTTATAACTACTGTTAAAGTAGTTAGTAACTGACTTTTGAAAGTGGTCCTAAAAACATCTTCAATAAGTCATTTTCTTTTTTGAGAAGTGAAGACTGTAATCAGTATCTCAGATAATAAAGTTGCAGTAGCACTAGCCTTGTAATTAGGTATAGAGACCTGTATCATGGAACACGATATGAGAGTTGAACTTTTCAGGGTGAACTGAGACTGAGCTAAGTGGACAGCTCTAGGTGTCCTTGTGGGTGGCTTTAGCTTTGCCTGCAGCCTAGTGGTTGAGGGGTGGGAGAACAGTAAATAATACAGGGCCAGGAGGGCCCTCTCCACCCTCTCATTTCTGTAGCACAGGCTCCTGGGCATACAGTGCCACCCCCAGTCTCTCTGGGACCCTGCTGTCTGACCAAGCTCCAATGGGCATTGGGGTTCTTGGGTAATGTCAACTTCCATGGATAGTTGGTACAGGTGTTGGGAAACTATATTTACAGGTTGCATCAGGAGGTGGTGGGATTGGAGACAGTGGTCAAGAACCAGCAACAGGCAACTGGAGGGGAATGCTGAAAACTTCAAAAGCTGAAGAATTATTAGCTGAAGAAAAATCGAAGCCAATTCCAGTTATGCCAGCTAGCCCCCAAAAGGGCCATGCTGTCAACCTGCTGGATGTGGTAAGCCATGAGAATTGGGGTGACACTTCCCACATGATCAATCTATGGGGAACACACTTGAGAGGAATTAAAATCTTAGAAGCTTCACATTTTCCCCCTCGTATGTTAGTCATTTTTCTTTTATTAACTGTTAAATGTCACTTTTCAATGTTCAATGTCACCATTTTAGAATGGCACAAGTAACATTTCCCCTTTGTCTCATTTAGCCAGTTCCTGTTGCACGAAAGCTTTCTGCCCGTGAACAGCGCGACTGTGAGGTTATTGAACGACTCATCAAATCCTATTTTCTTATTGTCAGAAAGAATATTCAAGACAGGTTCGTATTGTATAATACAGACAACAGATGGGTACACTGCTGGTTGAGTCCATGATCTGTTTTGATAACACTTATATTTAAAAGTTGTGTATGGGTTTGAAGTAGGGCTTAAGTACTACAGCACCTACCTGGGAAACACAAGGTTGAGTTCTAGCCTCAGCTTCACTAAAAAGGGGGAGGGGTCGTTTTTTGGTAACTGGCAGCAAGATTCAGTCTGTTATAACTAGGAACCACTGGGCATTAAGAAATGAATGGGCTTGGGAAGCATAGTGTGACAGAGGCGCTTGGAATATTTAAGAGTTAAAAAAGAGTGGGTAGCAATCATGGTAGTCTGTCTCTAATCCCAGCTACTAGGAAGGTAGAGGATCAAGGTCAGCCTGGGCAGTTAATGTTAAGACTCATATCTGAAGGACAGCCAAAGGACTGCAGAAAGTAGGTCAAGTGGTAAGCCCTGAGTTCAATCCCCAAGTTTTCTTTTTCGAATAGCTGAGGAACTCACAAAGCCTGGGGCTTGAACTCTGGAATCATCCTGCAGCTTTTTCACTCTAAGCGTGAGCCACAGCTCCACTTCCCTTCCAGCTTTAAAAATTGGTTAATTAATTAGAAGTCTCAAACTTTTTTGCCTGGGCTAGCTTTGAACCATGATCCTGCCTCCGGAGTAGGTAGGATTACGTGGCCTTGAGCTTTTGATCCTCCTAGCTCAGCCTCCAGCTGGAAGTAGTCATATACTGCCACTAAGAAGTTTTTTTAACCTTTAATAGTTTATAACCATTTTGGCTAGGTAACAAATGACTTACCTTTTCTTTCATGTGTGTATTGCCTGTAGTTCTTCTCCCATGTTCATTTCGGTGTTATTTCATGCAGTAGTAGGGAGAAGAAAATTTAGATGTGTAAAGTGAGGTATTAGATATGGGCTAGGAAGGTGGCTCAGTGGTAGAGTGCTTGCCTTGCATGCACGAGGCCCTGGGTTCCATTCTTCAGCACTACATAAACAGAAAAAGCTGCAAGTGGCACTGTGGCTCAAGTGATAGAGCTAGCCTTGAGCTGAAGAGCTGAGGGACAGCGCCCAGGCCCAGAGTTCAAGCCCCACAACCGACCAAAAAAAAAAAAAAAAAACTTATCCAATTTGTGGTAACCTTTTAGTAGGTAAGAGAAACTTCATTGTACCGAGGAATAAAAAGCCAGATGGGGTAGGTGCTGGTGGCTCATACCTGTAATCCTAGCTACTCAGGAGGCTGAGGATCTGAGGATCTCAGTTCAAAACCAGCCCAGGTAGGAAAGTCCAAGAGACGCTTATCTCCAGTTAGCACCATTTCCGGTTTTCTGGTGGTTATGGCTCAAGTAGTAGTTTTCACTTTGAGTTGAAGAGCTCAGGCCCAGAGTTCAAACCCCACAACCAACAAAAAACACAAAAAAATAAAAAGCCAGATGGCCTGATACTTTTATGTGGAGTGTTGTAGAATCAGTTACCACCAGACTTTTAACTTGCAGCAGAAACTAAAGAGGGAAAAAAAAAACAAAAAACAGCTTTTCCAGACCTTAGGCTTTGTTTACTCCAAGCCAGGTACTGGTAGCTCACGCCTATAACCTTAGCAACTCAGGAGGCTGGGATCTGAGGGTCACAGTTTAAAGCCAGCCTAGGCAAGAATATCTGAGACTGTTTTGAAACCCCAGAAGTGTGACCAAGGGGTAGAGTGCCAGACTTTTAACACAAAAGCTCAGGAACAGGTGTCCAGCCCCGAGGTTCAAGCCCCAGTACTGGCAAAAAAATTAAAAAATCCACAGGTAAGTGCAGGGGTTCTGCAACTATCACTATCAGCAGAAGCTGCTAGCTTACCCTCACCCTGACTTGTCACCTGAGAATCTACTGGCTCTGGACATTAGTATCTTTTTTGGGGGGAAGAGAGAGGGTGGTTGGGTCGTGGGGCCTGAACTCCAGGCCTTGGCGCTGTCCCTCAACTCTTCAGCTCAAGGCTAGCACTCTACCACTTGAGCCACAGCACCACTTCTGGCTTTTTTTTTCTGCTTATGTGGTGCTGAGGAATTGAACCCAGGGCCTCAGGCATGCAAGGCAAGCGCTCTACCATCGAGCCACCTTCCCAGCCCCTCTGTGAGACTCTTATCTCCAATAAACCACCAGAAAACCAGAAGTGGCACTGTGACTCAAATAGTACTGCATCAGTACCTGTCATAGCTAGTATTAAAATAAATGACTATGAATATGCTGTATATTGTGTGCCCATTCACCAGTACTTGGATGTTTGAGCTTTATTGCATTTTGGACTATTACAAAGTTCATTACTGAGATTTAATAAATATATGGGATGGGATACTGATAAATGAGATGAAGGTAAAATACCGAAATTAAGCAGGGCCCCTAGTTTAAGCCCAGGACTGTTCAAATTATTTAGCTTTATAACTTTGTCTTGCAGTGTGCCAAAGGCAGTAATGCACTTTTTGGTTAATCATGTGAAAGATACTCTCCAGAGTGAGTTAGTAGGACAACTGTACAAGTCCTCCTTACTGGATGACCTTCTGACTGAATCTGAGGATATGGCCCAGCGGAGGAAAGAAGCAGCTGATATGCTAAAGGTATTATTCCAACTTTTATACTTGGGGTATCAAAAAGTTTTAGATTAATTCTGATTCTTATGTTTTATCTAGTCTTTATATTTCTAGGTTTTTCTTTCTGTTAGTACTTGAGTAAAGATGCTCCTAGCTACTCAGATAATCTTAGGTACTCAGGATAATCCTACTAAAAATAATCCTAGCTACTCAGGAGGATTTCCTGGTAGGTAATTTCTTGAGACTCATTTTGGAAGTAGAACTATGTATGGCACAAGTGATAGAGTGCTAGCCTGAGCAAAAAGCTGAGGGACAGAGCCTAGGAACAGCACCCAAAAATAAATTATGTACAAAGTCAACATAAAACATTGGGAGAAATTTCTCCACAGAATTCAGATTCATGTAACAACTTTTTATTTCCTTCTATGCAGGCATTACAAGGAGCTAGTCAAATTATTGCTGAAATCCGAGAGACTCACCTCTGGTGAAGAGAAGTATATGAAACAGACTTTTCGGCTCAAAACGTGCTAGTTACTGCCTACTTGAGTAGAATTGTATGAACTGTGTTTTGCAACGGTATGAATCTGCTCATGTGAAGACTGGCTATATAAATGAGAAGTGTAACTTGCATTACAGAACAAATCACACATTTAATCCAGATAATAAATGGCTGTTTCTATAAAGTTTTCCCGTATACATACATACATATATATATATGTATATATGAAGTCTGTCTTGTGACAGTTTCATCTGGACTTAAGAGACCTATTGATGTTCTAGTTGTACAAAGTTTGCCTGTGAGGAAGATGACCTGTGTAAGCTTGTTCGTCTTAAAGCTGCTACATAGTCCTTCAGGAAGACAATGCACATACTATAGAACTGGATCTGAAAGGTGAGGGCTGGCAATCTCCTCAGTCACTGACTGTCATTGTACAGTTTAAATCTCTGCAATTGTAGGCACACATGGATCTGGAGTCCTGGTGGAGAGTGGATTCAAATCCACTCTCACACTTCAACCTGAAAGCAAGCATTAGGTCTTCCTGCATTAAAAACAGTAGGGCTTGGTAATGATAGCCAGTTTACTCTTTGCAAATCCCAAAATAGTAAATCAGATATAGCTATACAATGGGCACTGTCTCACGTTCTGAGATTGCCTTTATGTGGGAATTCAAATCCAGTTTATTCACTGTATTAGCTGGTAGTAGCTACCAACTACATTAGCACAGTGACTGGGAAATACCAGCCAAGCTTGGTTCTTCAGAGAAAAACACCCAGATGCACGGGCGTGCACGCGCGCGCACGCACACACACACACACACACACACACACACACACACACACAGGCTACATTTCATTCAGAAGGTGGAGCCGTTTGCAACACCATACATATACATTAAGAAAATTATGTATCATGAACACAACTTTCCAAGTTTTTATGAAGGATTTTGTTAGAGAAAACATGAACAGCTTATGGTCCCCAATAACCAAGAAATAACTGGTTCCAAGTGATCTCAAACACAGAAAGCCCAAACAAGTCTGATAGGACATCTTTGAATCCATTCAGTGAATGCATGCTGCCAAAATGTTAGCATGCACACACACAAAACCAGCTTTGAAAGTGGAGCTACCCGTGACTTCTCTCAGATGGACCAGACGACTTACCATAGCAGCCTTTTGAGTTTACAAGAAAATTTTACAATGCACATCTTTTCTTTTCTGCCTATCACATTTCAAGTTCAAGATGTAAGCTTTCAAAACATGCTGGGCACCTGCTGGTACTACACACTGTACAAACCAGAAGCAAGAAATTTCAAGAACACCAGCCTTGCTGGTTCTTAAAAGTGTGAGGTGGAAATGATCTCCAGCATATTTATAATACTGTATGTTCTTGCTATGTAAATAAAATTGCTGGTATAGAATGACATTCAAGTTTGTCAATAAATGAATTCCTCTTAACGTGTCTCAGAAGCATTTAAATGAACTTATAACCTTACTTTGTGCCACTCTGATTTTCTGGTGGTTAATTGGAGGTAAGAGTCTCACCAGGACTTTCCTTCCCAGGCTGATTCTGGATCCTCAGGTCTCAGCCTCCTATCTCGGACTACAGACATGAGCCACAAGTGTTTCAGTACCCACTAGTTTAGCTCATCCTGTATCAAAAACTTTTATGACTACGTTTTCTAGAAATCTCACAATTCACTGAGGTATCCTTGCATATCCATTTCTGCATATGAAATAGTAAGCTATACTGCTGCTTGTAGGAAAATGGGTCATTTTCTGCAATTCACTTGATCCTCAGGAAAACAGGATTGTTAGTACCTTTATTTTTCAAATGTGCAATCAGTTCTGGAGAATTAATTTGCATACTATGTAGAGCTGAACAAATCTGATTACAGATCTTTTAGGTTTGACCTGAAAATTTTTTTGTTTCCAGTCCTGAACTCAGGGTCTTGAACACAGGGCCTGGGCAATGTCTCTGAGCTGCTTTTGCTCAAGGCTAGCATTCTACCACTTGAGCCACAGAGCCACATCTGGCCTTTTCTGTGTATGTGGTACTAAGGAACCAAACCCAGAGCTTCATGCATGCTACGCACATTCCCAGCCCAAATGAATCTCTTGTCTCAAGATTGGATAGCTGGTGAAATACTTTTATTTCCTTGATTCCTTTTTAGTTCAACTCTAGTTATAAGCTCAAGGACAAAAGATACATTTCTGAATTGATAAAATATTTCTACTATAGGAATCTAGTCAAGAAACTCATGTAATATCTAATGGTAACTGTGACCTTACCTATTTTTGGGGGGGGGGGGGGGGGTTATGGTCGAGGGGCCTGAACTCTGGGCCTGGGCGCTGTCCCTCAGCTCTTCAGCTCAAGGCTAGCGCTCGGTTACCACTTGAGCCACAGCGCCACTTTCGGCTTTTTTCTTTTTTTCTTATGTGGTGTTGAGGAATTGAACCCAGGGCCTCAGGCATGCAAGGCAAGTGCTCTACCACTGAGCCACCTTCCCAGCCCCCTCATCATTCTTTTTTTTTTTTTAATTTTTTTTTTTTTTTGGGTCCGGTCGTGGGGCCTGAACTCTGGGCCTGGGCACTGTCCCTCAGCTCTTCAGCTCAAGGCTAGCACTCTGCCACTTGAGCCACAGCACCACTTCTGGCTTTTTTCTTTTTGCTTATGTGGTGCTGAGGAATCGAACCCAGGGCCTCGAGCATGCAAGGCAAGCGCTCTACCACTGAGCCACCTTCCCAGCCCTCATCATCTAACTTTTTAAGAACTATTTTCTTGTTAAAAGTTAAAGACATTTATGTTCCCAAGAACATACCATTTTTTCCATCGATTATATTTAAATATTCCTAAGTTGTATATTTCAGATTTATTTCATAGATTCTCTGAGCACAACTGCATTCACAGGTAAAACATCATGATTACTTGTTTGCCCATTCTCTTTTCTTTCCCAAATAACCTCCTTCAGGTATGGCTCAAGGTAGAATTTATCCTTTTCGTATTTTGTCCACTGCTCCTTAGGCAAGATGCCTTGTGATAAGGCCCAGAGCTCTCTTGATCCGAAACATCCTGCCATAAAGTTTCTCAGGAAGCCTTCTATGGCTTCTTTTACATCTTCAGTCTCCTGTATGGTATCATCATTAACCCCAGTTTGTTGAATCCTGCAGCATTGTAATGGCATTTTCGAACACCATCCAGCCACCATCCAGAGGCTGAAACAGCAGACTTGCCCGCCATTGTGACCCGAGAACGAAGCGAGGCAGAACATAACCATTTCTAATACAGAAACGCAGCTAGATTTTAGCCTGAGAGTGATTTGAATCTAGCAAGATGCTCTACCATTTAGCCACAGCTCCAGCACAGCATGGCCAATTATAAAAGACCCACAGAACATAGTGAAATGAGTGAGCTCTGTAACCACAGGAAAAGTGCATCAGTTTCGTGCCTGTCGCTATCACTCCCACAAGGAGGATAGGACAGAAAAGACAATCCGGGAGGATTTTCTTAAGTTTAATCCTGGAAATCATGGTTTTATACAATTGTCAATTATCTGCCAAGAAATAAATCATTAAATAAAAAACCTTGTTTATTAACAAGTCCTTAAAAAATAATTTACTCACATTCTCAGGCCTAGTGTATTCTTCATTCTATTTTGTACTGAACCAAACCATATATTTTAAGAATGAAGCTAAGCCAAGTGCCTGTGGCTCATGCCTGGAATCCTAGCTACTGAGGAAGCTGAGATTTGAGGATTGTGGTTCAAAGACAGCCTGGGCAGGAAAGTCTGAGACTCTTACCTCTGATGAACTTCCAAAAGGTCAGCAGAGTTGTGGCTCAAGTGGAAGAGTGATAGCCTTAAGCATGAAAGCTTGGGGACAGTATTAAGGTCCAGAATTCAAATCCCAGGGCCAGCACCAAAAAAAAAAAAAAAAAGGCCAATTGTTTCTCTGGAGTCTGAGATCTGAGGATCATGCTTGAAGCCAGCCCAGGAAGGAAAGTCCATGAGACTCATTTCTAATTAATCACATAGTAAACAGACCTGTAGTCCAAGTGGTAAGGCATGAGACTTGAACAAAACGTTTAGGGACAGCTCCCAGGCCCTGAATTCAAGTCTCAGGATGAGCACGTCTGAACAGCCAAAAACAAAATTTTTATAACTGAAGCCACTTTATAATGTAGAAATTTCTTTTCCCTATTTTAAGTAAAGAAAGTCCATTCTTAAGAATATGTTGTCCAACAACTAAAACACACTCAGGATTTGTTACTGGTCTGTGGTTGATACTGACTCCGCCTTCTGTTATCATCCGATACCTAAAAACAGAAATGCTTAGTTATTAGAGGAAACACTTTCCCCTCCTCCAAAAGATACTTACTTCACAACTTAAAAGCTTTTCAGTTGAAATCACTTAGTACGGTGTGTGTACGCGCATGCACTGGTTACTAGGTTTGAACTGGCATTTTCACTCGAGCACTTGAGTCACACTTCCTGCTTGTGGCTGCTAACTGGACATGAGTCTTACACTTTCTTGCCTGGGCTGGCTTTGCACTGAGATCTTCAGATGTTTCCATCCTCAGTAGCTAGGATTATAGGTGTGAGCTACCAGTACCTGGCAGCTGTATTTCTTACCTTCATGTTCACAATTAGATTTTCTTGCCTTTAATGACCTTCCAATAGAGCAAATATAAGGGACCGTAGTGACTTTTCTATTGGGTAGAGAGAAAGAGCTGGGCTAGGGCTGGGAAGGTGGCTCAGTGGTAGAGCATTTGCCTTGCATGCTTGAGGCCCTGGGTTTGATTCCCCAGCACCACATAAGCAAAAAGAAAAAAAGCCGGAAGTGGCGCTGTGGCTCCAGTGGTAGAGCGCTAGCCTTGAGTTGAAGAGCTGAGGGACAGCGCCCAGGCCCAGAGTTCAGGCCCCACGACTGACCAAAAAAAAAAATCCTTAAAGTCACTGACTCAAAGTCAGTGACTACTAAATAAATCAGCCTATCAGGGAGTCAGTTACACGAAGTGTACCCACAAGGCGACAATGGGCTTTCTTTACATATATGCATTTGAGGGCTCTTTACAACAGAGGCAATCAATCCAAAACAACTGGAAGAGAACAAATTATAGCAAGTATCTTTCACCACAGTAACAATGGCAGATGATGTGTGCTAAAACTCCCATAGATGACCCAAGGTCTTCAACTTTTCTCTCAACCTATCACTATTCAGTTATAAATGGATGAACACCAATTATATGCCAAATTATTTCTAGTAGAACAAAAGCCAGGCACCAATGGCTCATACCTATAATCCTAGCTAGTCAGGAAGCTGAGATCTGAGGATTTCAGTATGAAACCAACCCAGGCAAGAAGGTGAAACTCATGAGACTCATCTCCAATTATCTACCAAAAAAGCGGGAAGGGGCACTGTGGCTTAAGTGGCAAATCACTAGTCTTGAGCAGCTCCAGGACAGTGTCCAGACCTTGAGTTCAAACCCAAGACCAATGCACACTCACACCCCCACCAAGTATATGCACTAATAACAAAACTGAGCAATTAAAACAGTCTATTTCCTGAAAAAGAAATATGCAGTTCTCCAGGGAAATACTTCATATTTTATAAGCCTTAGCATGTTATATCAGGCTAATTTCATTTTCAGAACTTCAAATCATATTTAAAATATACTGGGAGCCAGATGCTGGTGGCTCAAGCCTAAAATCAATTCTAGCTACTTAGGAAACTGAGCTCTGACGATCATGGTTCGAAGCCAGAGGGGGCAGGAAAAGTCTATGTGACTCTTATCTCCAATAAACCATCAAAAAGCTGGAAGTGGAGCTGTGGCTCAAGTGGTATAGTGTTAGCCTAGAGCAAAAAGCTCAGGAATAGTGCCCAAGCCTTGAGTTCAAGTCACAGAACACCAAGAAAACAACAACAAAAAAATATACTATGGTACTGAACATGGGTCCTACTGGCTCACACTGCTGCTTAGGAGGCTGAGAGCTGAGGATGGTTGTTTCATGCCAGCCCAGGCAGAAACATGTGCAAAGATTTTTACCCCCAATTAACCATGAAAAAACTAGAAGTGGAGCAGTGGCTCAAGTGGTAGAACACCAGCCTTGAATGAAAAAGCTAAGGGACAATAGCACCCAGACCCTGAGTACAAGCCCCCAGTATTAAAATTCACAGGAAGTTTAAGGGATTTTCAACAATAAGTACTGTTTCCACTTCATTCACGGACTAAACTAACTTCTACAAGTAAAGAGATGCCACTAAAGCCTTCTCCAGAAAGCACTCTCTCTGGGAGCATGTGGTACAAATTTTAACACCCAGTATGAACCAAGGAATCATCTCACCCCCGGGGACCATCCGGAATGGCTTTTGCTTTGCGACACGTGTCCAGGACACTTGTTCCAGGGTCAAGAACTAACTCTGAAAAGGAAGCTTCTTTAAACAACTCTTTTAACTCTTCATCCGACATGACCTCCAGTGCATCGATGCTGCTATTATACAGGGCATGCGTACACCTGGAAAACATTTTAAAGGCCATAGCAGGTAAGTGCGTAATGGTATATGCTAACAGCCATTGACCAACTGTGGAGGATCCATTAATGTTCCATACATAAAGTTACTCAAAGAGCTTCACCTAACTTGTGTATTCACAAGATCATTTTCCTACTTCCCCCAATAAACACATAAAGCACTAAAGTCAAATGTTGGCAATCTTTGTCAATAATTAAATGGCAAGATAATCACAAAACAGCATAGCTCCCAATATTCTCAAGTCTATGAGAGAGAAGCCATTCTGAAGGTCACCTCTTGGCAGAATCCAGTCCTTCCTGTCCATGAACCAGCTTTGTCACTTCTGCAGCAAGTCGTTTCTGAGCACCTCGCTTTTCTGGTTCTGTGGTGTGCAGCTGCATAATGTGATCGATCTCTGGAAGGGGCAGAAAAGTGAAGAGCTTCAGGTACCTTCAGGAGAAGAAAAGTGTTACACAGTTATCACACATTTATCTCCAGTCTCCTCACACTTTTAAATCTTTTTTTCCCTCTTTCTTTTTTGTGCAGATCCTGGGGCTTGAACTTAAGGCCTTGCCTCTTGCTTTTCCACTCAAAGCTAGCTAGCACTCTATCACTTAAGCCACAGCTCCACTTTTGCCTTTTAGGTGGTTAAATTTGAGATAAAAGTCATAGATTTTCCTGCCTGGGCTGGCCTCAAACTGTGATCTTCAGATCACAGCATCCTGAGTAGCTAGGACTGGTATGAGACACCGGTGCCCAACTAAACTATATTTTTATTATTTGGGGGGTGGGGGGGGGGGTGTCTGGTCGTGGGGCCTGAACTCTGGGCCTGGGCCTCAGCTCTTCAGCTCAAGTCTAGCATGCTACCACTTGAGCCTTAGCACCACTTCCGGCTTTTTTTCCCTGCTTATGTGGTGCTGAGGAATTGAACCAGGGCCTCAGGCATGCAAGGCAAGCGCTCTACCACTGAGCCACCTTCCCAGCCCCTAAACTATATTTTTAAATCTGAAAAATAAACACACAGAAGGCACTGCCAATAAATACACTATTCAGATTGAAGATATTCCTTTTTCTTGTGCTGTCAGTACTAGAGTTTGAACACTGGACCTCACGCCCTTCCTTAGCTTTTCCACTCATGGCAAGTGCTCTGGCACTTGAGCCACACCTGCACCTCTGGATTTTTGCTGGTTAATGGGAGCTAAGAGTCTCAGACTCTCCTGCCCTGATTGACTTTGAGCCTTGATCCTCAGATCTCAGCTCAGAGTCCTGAGTAGCTAGGATCACAACCATTGAACCTCCAGCAAGTACTACTATTTTTTTCTTTAATCACATTTGGCTTTGAGCTTTCTTTTCTAAAAGCAGAGAAATGGTATAAGCACACAGCCCTGTCCCTGTCCCATTCCTTTCCTGGCCCCTACCGATAACCACTAATCTAAATTTGTTTCCATCCTTCTCAAGGACGTTTGTATACTTTGGTGTGTACCTATTAAAAAAAAAAAAAAAGCATTATTTAAAAACAGAAACAGTATTCCATACCTTTTCTTTGGTAATGGGACTTGAACTCTGGGCCTGGGTACTGTCCCTCAGCTCTTCAGCTTAAGGATAGCACTTTACCCCTTGAGCCACAGCACCACTTCTGGTTTTTGGTGGTTTCTTGGAAATAAGAGTCTCACGGACTTCCCTGCCTGGGTTGGCTTTGAACCATCCTCAGATCTCAGCCCCTTGAGTAGCTAGGATTACAGGTGTGAGCCACCAGCGCCCAGCTCATACCTTCTTTTCTTAAAATTCTTTGGTATAATTTAACAGGTTGAAACAAGTACATTGAAGGAGTAAGGAAGAGTATGGAGGCGGCCAGACTGATTGGAATTACATTTATACTTGTGTTTAAATGTCACAATGAAATCTCCCCTGTATAACTAATGTAGCCAATGAAAAAAATAAACAAGTATAACATATATACTAACATTGTCACTATGAGGCAAACACCTATGTAACTACCACCTTGGTTAATAAAGTCATTAGCATTCATAATCCCACCTACTCAGAAGGCTAAGATCTGAGGATCAAGGTTCAAGGCTGTCCCAGGGAAACAAATCTAGGGACTTCTCCAATTAACCGTGAGAAAGTCAGAAGCAGAGGTCTGGCTCAAGAGATAAGTATCAGCCTTGAGTAGAAAAGCCAAGCAAGAAGGCAAGGCCCCCCGAGTTCAAGTCTAAGTACTGATGCATTAAAAGTAATTAGGGTACAGAAATTCACTGGCTAACACAGTTATCATGAGGGCTGGTGGCATGACTCACAGAGTAAAACTATCCAGCAAATGCAAAGCCCTGAGTTCAAACCCCTGTACTGCACAAACAAAACAATAAAAACAATGTAACAAGCACGTATTACTTTTTTCACAGCCAACTCTTAAAAACTCACCTTTCTACACAATCATCTTGCTGTCTGACAAAGAATTGATACAATTCAAAAGGAGAGGTTCTGTCTCTGTTCAGCCACAGGGCATTGCCAGCTGATTTTCCTAGCTTTGCTCCCGCTGTGCTGGTAATCAGAGGGACCGTGATTCCAAACACGTCTTCTCCAGTCACCCTGCGCAAAGAGAATTTCATGATACAATTCAAGCATGAGTACCAACAGGTTCCGCCACCACCCTGCGCCAGTTCACTCCAGTTATCTGCTGCAACGAAGGCCTTGCAGCTGGGTCCTGGTAGCTCACACCTGTAATCCCAGCTCCTTAGGAAGCTGAAATCTGAGGATCTTAGTCAAAGCCAGCTCAGGCAGGAAAAGTCTGAAACTTTTTTGGGGGGGTGGGGGGGGGCGTCCAGTCATGTGACCTGAACTCTGGGCCTGGGAGCTGTCCCTCAGCTCTTCAGGCTAGCGCTGTACCACTTGAGCCACAGCGCCACGTCCGGCTTTTTTCTTTTTGCTTATGTGGTGCTGAGGAATCGAACCCAGCGCCTTATGCATGCAAGGCAAGTGCTCTATCACTGAGCCTCCTTCCCAGCCCCTGAGACTTTTATCTCCAATAAATTACCCAAAAAGCCAGAAATAGAGCTGTGACTAGAGTAGTAGAATGCTAGCCTTGAGTGAAAGAAGCTTAGGGACAACACCCAGACCCTGAATTCAAGCCCAAGGACGGGTAAGGAAAAAAAAAAAAGTGCCTCTGACCACTTCAATCTGAATTCCTGCCCTCTTATACACCATTACCTTACCCACACTCTATTTGCATTTTTTCATCCTGAACTTTAATTACCTGAATTTTAATTACACAGGTGGTTCTATGCAAAGGAAAATGATTTCCAATGTCCAGGTGGGAAGGGGGATGCAACAGAAACATTAATGAGATTTTTTTTTTAAACCCACATCTGCCAGATATAATCGTATCTGTAATCCTAACTAATCAGATGGCTGACACCTGTAGGATTCCAGTTTGAAACCGACCAGGGCAGAGAAGTGGCCCAGATTCCATCTCCAATTAACCAGCAAAATGCCAGCACTAGAGGCTTAACTGAAACGGTGCAACAAGCAAACTGAGCAAAGAACAGGCACCTGTTCAAACCTTAATACTGACCAAAAAAAGTTTGCCATTTAAAATCTACATTACTTACCAAATACCTACAGTTGCACCCAAAAAAAAAAAAGATGCCAATTGAGAACGAAAGTTCCCTTCATGGAAGATGAAGACCTAAAACAGGCTACTCAAAGAAAGCCCAGTCACCTTCAGATATAATCAACAAAAACAATCTCTCAACTTAAAAACAGAGAAGGAGACAGGTAAAGAATAGACACTCGGGGCTGGGAAGGTGGCTCAGTGATAAAGCGCTTGCCTTGCATGCTTGAGGCCCTGGGTTCGATTCCTCAGCACCCATAAGCAAAAGAAAAGCCGGAAGTGGTGCTGTGGCTCAAGTGGTAGAGCGCTAGCCTTGAGCTGAAGAGCTGAGGGACAGCGCCCAGGCCCAGAGTTCAGGCCCCACGACCGGACCCAAAATAAAACAAAACAAAACAAAAAAAAGAATAGACACTCTACATCCTGATCAATGGTCTATTTCTTGCGGAGTTCTACACTGTGCCCCTTAGTCTCAGTGACAAGTTTCCTTCCCTAGTGTCTTAACTCCATTTACAGCCCCTGAACGAGAATAAAACTGTCCACGGCTTGAAGGACACCATAATAAACCACAAATCAGTCACTGGACACCTGTAATCCTACCAACTCAGGCGACTGAAATCTGAAGATAGCGGGTTCGAAGTCAGCCTGGGCAGCAAAGTGTGTGAGACTCTTGTCTCCAATTAACCACAAAAAGCTGGAGGTGGAGCTGTGGCTCAGGTGGTAGAGTGCTGGCCTTGAGCACAGAGGTCATGGACGGCGACAGACCCCAAAATTCAAACCGAAGAAGCGTCTTCTCGGGGAGCTGAGATGCGAGGACAGAGGTTCGAAAACAGCCTAGCCAAACGAACCCTCAAGGCCGCCGAGCGGAGTTGTGGGTCGAGGTGGCAACAAGACCAAATGAATGGGCAGGGCCCTGACTTCACGTGCCAGTACGCGCACGCGCGGGCGCGCCCTCTGCACAGCCTAGGCGTCCGTGTCCCGGCCGGCCGGCTTCGCGTGGGGTTTCCCCGGCGCCCCCCGCGCGCTCACCTGCGGACGAACTCGTACCCCGACACCATGTTGCCCAGCTGGTCGGCCCCGCCGAGCTGCACGCGGCAGCCGTGCAGGCGGAACAGGTGGTAGAAGTCGTAGGCCTGCAGCACCTGGTAACAGAACTCGGCCAGGCTCATGCCCTCGGGGCTCCGGAGGCGGCTCTGCACGCTCTGCCGGCTCAGCAGCGTGCCCACGCGGAAGTGGCTGCCCTCCGTGGCCAGGAAGTCCACCAGGCCCCGCGGCTCGTGCCAGGCCGTGTTGTCCAGCACGGTGAAGCGGCCCCAGGCGCGGCCGTCAGCGAAGAGCCGCTGGTGGCGCTCGGCCAGGGCGCACAGGCCGCGGCGCAGCGCCTGCGCGTTGGCTCGCACGCGCTCGGCGCTCAGGGCCTCGCGCGCGCGCTGCCGGCCGCTCGGGTCCCCCAGGCGCGCCGTGGCGCCGCCCACCAGGGCGATGGCGTCGTGGCCCACGCGCTGGAAGTGGAAGAGGCCCAGCAGCGGCAGCAGGTGCCCCACGTGCAGCGAGTCCGCCGTGGGGTCGAAGCCGCAGTACACGGTCTGCGGAGGGGCGCCCGCCGCGAAGAGCTCGGTGAGCTCCACCCGCGTGCCCCGCTCCGGGAAGAACTCCTTGAACAGGCCCCGGCTCCTCTGCGCCGCCAGGAATCCCTGCGCGCCCGAGTGCGCCGCACGCCGGCCCGGGGCGGCGGACCACCGGCCCCGAGACAGGCGCCGCCACGCGGACGCCGCCATCTTGGCAGCAGCGCGCCGGGGGGGGGGGGGGGGGGGGGCGTCGGAGACCCGGCTCCTCCCTTCCCGTGCCCTTTCGTACTTCCGCATCTCCCCGCGCGTGTTAGCCGAGGGGCGGAGCTTGCGCAGTCGGCACTTCCGCAGTAGGCTGTCTGCCGCGGTTGGACACTCGGGGGTGGCCCCGCCTCGCCGGTCCGGAAGGTCCCGGTGGCCCAGGGCGCCACTTCCGGCTGTGGTGCGGTGCAGCCCTGCGCGTGAAACTCGGAAGCGCTCTGCAACGAGCTGGCTTCTCTTGGCGCGTTCCCGCACGAACGTGGTGGGGGTGTGGTTCTGAGCGGCACGGGCGCCGAGGGAGCTTGTGAACGCCGGGAGCTGGGGTTGCCCGGCAGGACTCGGTCCCCAGCCCTCGGCGTCTCTTAGGTTGCTCCAGGAGGTGGCAGCCTCGTCCAAGCTATAGCAGACACTAAGCTAAAATTCCGAAACCATTTACGTGTGTGTGCGTGTGTGTGCGTGCCGCCGGTGCTCAGGACCTGGGTGCTGTCCCGGAGTTTTTTCACCCAGAGCTGGTGTTCTATCACTTGAGCCACACCTCCATTTCCAGCTATTTTGGCAGTTCATTGGATGGCTTGGAGCCACGATCCTCACTACTTCAACCCCCTGAGTAGCTAGGGTCACAGGTGTGAGCCACACAGCCTAGGATGGATTCAGATCACCAGGGCCCCAGCAGGCCAGGCGACCTGAAGACTCTGGAATGTGGCTCTCCTTGGCGGCTCTCAGCAAGTGAACCAACTGCAAAATTCTACCGCAGACTGGCTGACTGATTCCTGGGGCCTTTCTTAATACCAAGCAGCTCAGGTCTGATTTCCTGGATTCTGTCTTGGAGCTTTATGTGCAGGATGATCGGCCTGTACTATCGATGAACACTTGTGTGAGGGAAGGGAGGTGGGGAAGAGACAGATTGGAGCCCTCTGGTGATGGATCTTCCTGTAGAGTTGGGATTTCCTTTCAGGATCATCTGAAGCCTGAAGCAATGGGGAGGCCATTGTACACTTATTGACTGGTCATTAAATGTGGGATGACCTTGGAGAGAAGACCAAACTATGGGCAAGGCTCTAGAGGAAGGCCATGTACAGAAACGGGCTCATCTGTGAGCCATCAACAAAACGCCAGCAACTGGGGGTCCTGGTATAGGGTTCTTCTAGACCACACCCCATACAGGATCTTTCACTTCTTAACGCTAAGTTTTTTTGTTTTCTTTTGGTCTGACATGGGGTTTGAACTCTGGGTGCTGTCCCTCAGATCTTCAGCTCAAGGCTAGCGCTCTACCATTTGAGCCACAATGCCACTTCCGGTTTTCTGGTGGTTTATTGGAGATAGAGTCTCACGAAGTTCCCTGCCATGGCTGGCTTTGAACCATGATCCCCAGATCTCAGTCTCCTGAGAAGCTAGGATTACAGGTGTGAGCACCACCAGTGCTCAGCAAGATAAATAAAAAACAAACCAAAAAGGGGCTGGGAAGGTGGCTCAGTGGCAGAGCGCTTGCCTTGCATGCATGAGGCCCTGGGTTCGATTCCTCAGCACCACATAAGCAAAAGGAAAAAAAGCCGGAAGTGTTGCTGTGGCTCAAGTTGTAGAGCGCTAGCCTTGAGCTGAAGAGGCGAGGGACAGTACCAGGCCCAGAGTTCAGGCCCCACGACTGGACCCCCCAAAAAATTATATATATATAAAAACAACCAAAAAACAAACAAAAAAAACTAGTCAGGTGTGGTGGCTCACACCTATAAGCCTAGTGACTCTGGAGGCTGAGATCTGGAAGATCAAAGTTCAAGCCAGTCCAGGCAAAAAGCACTGGAGAAGCAATCAGCTTCTGGAGAACCAAATAAAAGATTAGGCAAAGCCAGGTACCTGTAGCTCATGCCTGTAATCCTAGCTACTCAGGAGGCTGAGATGTTAGAATTGGGGTTCAAAGCCAGCCTGAGCATGAAAGTCTGTGAGATTCATCTCCAATTAACTAACAAAAGCCAGAATTAGATTTGCTTGATTTTTTTTTTTTTTTTTGTTGGCCGTGGGGCTTGAACTCTGGGCCTGAGCGCTGTCCCTCAGCTCTTCAGCTCAAGGCAAGCGCTCTACCACTTGAGCTACAGCGCCACTTCCAGTTTTCTGGTGGTTTATTGGAAATAGGAGTCTCACGGTCTCTCCTGCCCGGGCTGGCTTTGAACCGCGATCCTCAGATCTCAGCCTCCTGAGTAGCTAGGATTACAGGCGTGAGCCACTAGCACCTGGCTAGATTTGCTTGATTTTTAAAACTTGATTTAAAAACTCAGAATCTGAACGTTTTTACAGGGGAACATTTTATTCACAGGCTTTGGGTCGATGTGACACATACCTGTCTGTGGATTTAAAGGTATCTTAGCAACTTTCTACTGGAAAGTATGACTTCATACTGTGGTTTAATGACTCAGTTACTGTAGGAAGTCCTACTTCTTACAAAAGTATGTACCACAAGTGCCATTGGCTGTAATCCTGTAATCCTAGCTTCGCAGGAGGCTGAGAACTGGAGGATCTCAGTTTGAAGCCAGCCTGGACTAGAGACTTCACCTCCAATTAACCAACAAATTGACACTGAAGGTATGGTTCAATTGGTAGAGTGCCAGCTATTAGCAAAAAAGCTGAACTAGAGTATGAGGCTCTGAGTTCAAGCCCATTATATATACACACACACTGCAGAATTGTGCTTGTTTGCTTATTATTTAACAGTATTTTTGTGTGTCTGTGTGTGTGCCAGTCCTGGGCCTGAACTCAGCCTGGTTGCTCTCCCTGAGCTTTTTAGGTCAAAGCCAGTGCTTTACCACTAGAGCCACAGCTCTCCTTCCAGATTTTATTAGAGTTTAATTGGAGATAAGAGTCTTGTAGAGGGCTAGGAAGTTGGCTCACATGCATGAGGCCCTGGGTTCATTCCTCAGCACCACATAAGCAGAAAAAAGCCAGGAGTGGCACTGTGGCTCAAGTGGTAGAGCGCTAGCTTTGAGCTGAATTGCTGAGGGACAGCGCCCAGGCCCAGAGTTCAGGCCCCACGACCAGATCAAAAAAAAAAAAAGAGACATTCCCTGCCCAGGCTGTCTTTGAAGCTCCAGCCTCATGTCTCCGTCTTCTGAAAAGCAAAGGTTATAGGTGTGACTCATGGGTGCCTGGCTTATTTATTTTTGCAGTGCTCATGGCCTTACTCATGCTAGGCAAGAGCGCTCCCTCTCACCTACCTTCCCAGCTCAACACATCCTCTTCACAGTCCAGAGGGCGGTCAGCTTGCTAGGTGGGGCCCTCTACCACTTGAGCCACACCCTAGGTCTGCCCTGCCCTTGTAAAGAATCTGTGGTGCTGATCCCAATTCAAACAAGTCTAACTCCCATTCTGCATCTCTTTTCCACTGCTGACTTAAGCAATGACTAAGAGCCCAGGTCTTCCATTGGATATCCTTTAGCCGAGGTGACCAGCTGCTGATTTCCTATCAGTGAACTTGGTCTAGGTGCTTGAATTCCCATCTTTGATCTGCTTCCTCAGGATTTGCTGGGTTTCCTAGGAAGTGGCTAGGCATTTGAATTTGTATGGTATATCTTGGGGACATGTGCCTTTGTTCTGTTCTGTGAGAGCTGAGCCTTGTCAACATTTACCCTGCACTAGCTGCTTTATTGGACTTGCTAGGGCTCAGATCAGAGGCTAATCCGAGCTGAGCAGAAGCCAAGGATCATAAAGAAACTTGAAGACAAACACAGATAACATCTCAGCTCCCTCCCTCCCATCTTGCCATCATTCTTCCTTCCCTTTTCCTTTTCCTCTTCTTTCTTCAACAGTCTCACTGCAAAGCTCAGGGTAGCCTTGGAGGCATGATCCTCCTGTCTCTCTCCTATTCTTGAGTGCTGGGATTACAGGCATGTGCCACCCATGCTGAGCTCAAATCCATTTCTTACTGGCTGACTGTGAGCAAATGGTTTTAAGACATTTTGAGTTTCCAGGGTTTTCATCTAGAAATACACACACAGTAGTGCCTGTTGGCATGATTGAATTGACAACATGAATGTGTAAAGGTTGACCAAATCTGTACACTCTCTTTTGGCTCCACTTTGCAACCACCGTTTTGTTTTGTTTTGGTCAGTCATGGGGCTTGAATTCTGGGCCTGGGCACTGTCCATTAGCTCTTCAGCTCAAGGCTAGCACTCTACCATTTGAGCCACAGCGCCACATCTGGCTTTTTCTGGTTATGTGGTGCTTAGCAATCAAACCCAAGGCCTCATGCATGCAAGGCAAACACTCTACCACTGAGCCACCTTCCCAGCCCTGCAACCACCTCTGTCTGCTGTTCTTCATGAGTGCTGGCACCTGTTGTGCCTCTGAAAGATACCAAGGGAACAGCCAGGCCTCCCTCTCCTCTCTCACTCTTCATCATCCTGAGTAAAAACAGGGAAGCATTCTTCAACCCCCAGTTGGGGCGTGGGCCAGCCAATCCTCTCCCCCTCAGTAGAAGCAGGGGCTCCTGGCTGTGGTGCCAGGCAGCTCCCTCCTCTTAACTGTCAGAAATGGCCTTGAACAATGGTCCTGCTGGTTGTAAGATGTGGGTTTTCAGCAGAGAGTTCAACTTAGAGCTCACACACCCACTGTCCCTAATAATTACCTTCGCCTTTCATAACAGCCTAAGTGGAAGCAGATTCAAAACTGTTCTTTCCAATGTTTTTTTACATGTAGAAGGCCAGTAAATGTTAAGTCACCAACCCAGAGACGGAATCCATGGAAATCAGACTTGGTGTGCAAAAAGGCCAAAAGGAAAAGAAGTACACTTGTTTGTTCACAGCAAGTATTCAAAGGGAGGAATTTTCTTGCTGTGTGCCTGACTCAAAAATGTTACTGCTCTTTTGGGAATACTTTCCACATCTGACTACCATGATGAAGATTGCTTTCTGCTAATTTTTTGTTTTAATTAAACACATTCTTTAAACCTTTCATTAGTGGCACAGTTCTGA